TCCCCCAATACACGTGTAAATATTGGACTATAGATTGTGCCTTCCTGTATTATAATAATAATAATAATAATATGCCATTTAGCAGACGCTTTTATCCAAAGCGACTTACAGTCATGTGTGCATACATTTTTACGTAATGGGTGGTCCCGGGGATCGAACCCACTACCCTGGCGTTACAAGCGCCATGCTCTACCAATTGAGCTACAGAGGACCACGCTAAACTGCTATACTGATGCTAAACTGCTATACTGATGCTAAACTGCTATACTGATGCTAAACTGCTATACTGATGCTAAACTGCTATACTGATGCTAAACTGCTATACTGATGCTAAACTGCTATACTGATGCTAAACTGCTATACTCATGCTAAACTGCTATACTGATGCTAAACTGCTATACTGATGCTAAAATGTCTATTCTATTCTACTGCCATTTACTTTATGTTCATATTCTCATCTTTTATTTCTCATTGTTGTTGCATTGTCGAGAAGGAACCTGCCAGTAAGCATTTTGTTGGAAGATATATACCCTCCGTATCCCATACATACGACTAATACAACTTGAAACGTGAGAGAAGGTCATAATCCTCAACATCTGGCCTGGATTATGACGTTGGCCATGGAACCAGTGATTAGAGAGGTCATAACAGGTCATAACAGGTCATAACAAGGTCGTAACAGGTCATAACAGGTCATATCAGGTCGTAACAGGTCATAACAGGTCGTAACAGGTCATACCAGGTCGTAACAGATCGTGACAGGTCGTGACAGGTCGTAACAGGTCGTGACAGGTCATAACAGGTCATAACAGGTCATAACAGGTCATAATAGGCCATTACAGGTCATAACAGGTCATAATAGGCTATAACAGGCCATTACAGGCCATAACAGGTCATAGCAGGTCAATTATCGCTCCCAGGTGAAGACCAGGGCCATATAGTGTTTCTATAGCTTTATCTATGGCTCTATAGAGGCAGGTCAGTAGCTTTATCTATGGCTCTATAGAGGCAGGTCAGTAGCTTTATCTATGGCTCTATAGAGGCAGGTCAGTAGCTTTATCTATGGCTCTATAGAGGCAGGTCAGTAGCTTTATCTATAGCTCTATAGAGGCAGGTCAGTAGCTTTATCTATGGCTCTATAGAGGCAGGTCAGTAGCTTTATCTATGGCTCTATAGAGGCAGGTCAGTAGCTTTATCTATGGCTCTATAGAGGCAGGTCAGTAGCTTTATCTATAGCTCTATAGAGGCAGGTCAGTAGCTTTATCTATAGCTCTATAGAGGCAGGTCAGTAGCTTTATCTATAGCTCTATAGAAGCAGGTCAGTAGCTTTATCTATGGCTCTATAGAGGCAGGTCAGTAGCTTTATCTATGGCTCTATAGAGGCAGGTCAGTAGCTTTATCTATAGCTCTATAGAAGCAGGTCAGTAGCTTTATCTATGGCTCTATAGAGGCAGGTCAGTAGCTTTATCTATGGCTCTATAGAGACAGGTCAGTAGCTTTATCTATGGCTCTATAGAGGCAGGTCAGTAGCTTTATCTATGGCTCTATAGAAGCAGGTCAGTAGCTTTATCTATGGCTCTATAGAAGCAGGTCAGTAGCTTTATCTATGGCTCTATAGAAGCAAGTCAGTAGCTTTATCTATGGCTCAGGTGGAAATGAGAGGTCAGTTTCACGTACAGAGCATTTTGCCAGCAGAATCAAATAAAATAAAATTTTAATTGTCACATGCTTGGTAAACAACAGGTTTAGACTAACAGTGAAATGCTTATTTACGGGCCCTTCCCAACAACGCAGAATACAATAAAACAATTTAAAAGTAATAATAGAAAGAAATGTGTAACACGAGGAATAAATACACAATGAGCAATGATAGCTTGGCTATATACACGGGGTAGCAGTACTGAGCCGATGTGCAGGGGTACGAGGTAATTAAGGTAGATATGTACTGTAGGATAGGATAAAGTAGGATAGGATAAAGTAATCCTTCTACCCCCCCCCCCCCCCCCCCCAAAAAAAAAAATGGTAAAGTGGTTATCCCACTGGCTATAGGGTGAATGCACCAATTTGTGAGTCGCTCTGGATAAAAGCGTCTGCTAAATGACGTAAATGTGCCCTTGAGCAAGGCACTTAACCCTAATTGCTCCTGTAAGTCGCTCTGGATAAGAGCGTCTGCTAAATGACTAAAATGTAAAATGTAATGTAATGTACATATAGGTAAGGGTAAAGTGACTAGGCAACAGGTTAGGTAATAGACAGTAGCAGCAGCGTATGTGATGAGTTTGGAAGTGTGTGTGTGGCGACAGTGTGCCTGTGTGTACGTGTTATGTGTGTGTGTGTGTGTGTGTGTGTGTGTATGTATGTTGGAGTGTCAGTCTAGGTATGTGGGTATAGGGTGAATGCACCAATTTGTAAGTCGCTCTGGATAAGAGCGTCTGCTAAATGACGTAAATGTGCCCTTGAGCAAGGCACTTAACCCTAATTGCTCCTGTAAGTCGCTCTGGATAAGAGCGTCTGCTAAATGACGTAAATGTAAATGTATGTGTGAGTGTGTGGGTAGTCCAGTGTGTGTAAATAGAGTCAAAGAAGAGTTAGTGCTAAAAGGGTGAATGCAGATAATCCGGGTGGCTTTTTGGTTAACTATTTAGCAGTCTCATGGCTTGTGGGTAGAAGCTGTTCATGAGCCTTTTTTAAGGATCGGGGTCAATTCCAGTCAATTCAGGAAGTACACTGAAATTCCCACTTTCTTCAATTAGGACAATTTTGGAATTGGAATTGGAATTTGGTTTACTTTCTGAATAGTCTGGAATTGAAATAGAATTGACCCCAATCCCGATATCTTGTGGTAATAGATTTGATCTCATTCAGTGAGACTAACCTAGATAAATAGAGGTTAAATAACATCAAACATGCGGTTAATGGCACTTCAGAAAACTGGCAGGGAGAGTGACATATTCAGAGGGGTTGTTTGACGTACCAAGCGGGAGTAGTGCACTGAATAGGGTATAGGGTGCCATTTGAGAAGCAACCTGAGTGGAGTGTTGTGTTCTCTCGAGGGGATCTGGATGGGGAGGTTTCCTTGGAAACCGAATAAGGTCCATCGAACCTAAATGGGTAATCCCTGAGCTGCTGCTGACAAGAAAATAATAGCTTTGGGGATCTTCAGAATACCCCAGTAACTGTGAATGTGATATGGCCTGTTACATAATGCTGTTGAGGTTTAAACACTTACTGTACTGTCTGGTTAGGTCTCTATCTATCTATCTATCTATCTATCTATCTATCTATCTATCTATCTATCTATCTATCTATCTATCTATCTAGTTACCACAGTCACAAAGTCATAAACCATTTATCTATTAACCCTAACCTTAAACACACTGCTAACCGTATGCATAACTCGATCCTTGAATTAAGAAAAAAAAGCAAATGTTTTTCATGAATTTTTAGGATGTAGCCAATTTTGACTTTGTGGCTGTGGTAACTAGTGGAAACCCCAATCCACCTCCCTCACACAGACCAAACGTCAGTAAACCGCCTTAACAGCTGCGGCAATTTTGACTTTGTGGCTGTGGTAACTAGTGGAAACCCCAATCCACCAGACCAAACGCCAGTAGAAGCCTGGCTGTGGTAACTAGTGGAAACCCCAATCCACCAGACCAAACGCCAGTAGAAGCCTGGCTGTGGTAACTAGTGGAAACCCCAATCCACCAGACCAAACGCCAGTAGAAGCCTGGCTGTGGTAACTAGTGGAAACCCCAATCCACCAGACCAACGCCAGTAGAAGCCTGGCTGTGGTAACTAGTGGAAACCCCAATCCACCAGACCAAACGCCAGTAGAAGCCTGGCTGTGGTAACTAGTGGAAACCCCAATCCACCAGACCAAACGCCAGTAGAAGCCTGGCTGTGGTAACTAGTGGAAACCCCAATCCACCAGACCAAACGCCAGTAGAAGCCTGGCTGTGGTAACTAGTGGAAACCCCAATCCACCAGACCAAACGCCAGTAGAAGCCTGGCTGTGGTAACTAGTGGAAACCCCAATCCACCAGACCAAACGCCAGTAGAAGCCTGGCTGTGGTAACTAGTGGAAACCCCAATCCACCAGACCAAACGCCAGTAGAAGCCTGGCTGTGGTAACTAGTGGAAACCCCAATCCACCAGACCAAACGCCAGTAGAAGCCTGGCTGTGGTAACTAGTGGAAACCCCAATCCACCAGACCAAACGCCAGTAGAAGCCTGGCTGTGGTAACTAGTGGAAACCCCAATCCACCAGACCAAACGCCAGTAGAAGCCTGGCTGTGGTAACTAGTGGAAACCCCAATCCACCAGACCAAACGCCAGTAGAAGCCTGGCTGTGGTAACTAGTGGAAACCCCAATCCACCAGACCAAACGCCAGTAGAAGCCTGGCTGTGGTAACTAGTGGAAACCCCAATCCACCAGACCAAACGCCAGTAGAAGCCTGGCTGTGGTAACTAGTGGAAACCCCAATCCACCAGACCAAACGCCAGTAGAAGCCTGGCTGTGGTAACTAGTGGAAACCCCAATCCACCAGACCAAACGCCAGTAGAAGCCTGGCTGTGGTAACTAGTGGAAACCCCAATCCACCAGACCAAACGCCAGTAGAAGCCTGGCTGTGGTAACTAGTGGAAACCCCAATCCACCAGACCAAACGCCAGTAGAAGCCTGGCTGTGGTAACTAGTGGAAACCCCAATCCACCAGACCAAACGCCAGTAGAAGCCTGGCTGTGGTAACTAGTGGAAACCCCAATCCACCAGACCAAACGCCAGTAGAAGCCTGGCTGTGGTAACTAGTGGAAACCCCAATCCACCAGACCAAACGTCAGTAGAAGCCTGGCTGTGGTAACTAGTGGAAACCCCAATCCACCAGACCAAACGCCAGTAGAAGCCTGGCTGTGGTAACTAGTGGAAACCCCAATCCACCAGACCAAACGCCAGTAGACCTCCTTAACAGCTGCGGCGCTATGGAGACATCCGAGTCCTTTAGCCAGTAGCGCATGTTTGTTTCGGCTAGTAGCCATGGCTCGGTTCGCTGCCCTACTGCTTTTACCGGTTCTCATTGAATCGGTATTGTCAATTTCTTTCTTTTTACCGGTAAATTCAAGGAAATGTTTACGGGAAGAGATCCACAAAGACGTGCTAGTCACGGGGGAGTATGAAATCAGCGAGCAGTCCAACATAAAAACCAACCTGAAGGTGAGTTTGATGCTGCTGGCGTTACGGTACTGGCGGGTAAGCTAACCTAACTAGCTGTTAACAGTGAATGCCCAAACGCAGTTTACGTGGAAATGCTAACGTAGCGAGTTATCCATATAAATTGCTATCCATAACAGCTAACTAGCTAAACGTCTTGTTGACAGCTGCTGTTAGCGTCCTAGTTGCCGTTAGTGTCCTAGCTAACGTTAGCGTAGTTGGGCCTGTGACAGATCCTTCCTGGTTCTTGCGCTTTTAAATGGTTTTGATAGAAATAGCAGAATTGTACATTTTCTCAAACGAAGTGTGTATAGTATTAAATACGTAAAGGTATTTAAACTTGCAGATCATGGCTAGTGTGTCGCTAGCTAACTATTTTGTTATTTCAATGTTTAGTTTCAGTTGAGTTGGTGAAAACTCATTCAGGATGTTACACGTCAGTCTTAACTCCCCCATTCACTCTGTGAAACGTGTAGCTACTAGTTAGCTCATGAGGATGATGTCAACAATGTGGATGCAAGGTTATAATAAGACTTGACAACTCATACAAATCATAATCATACAAGTCTATAATTTGCCTACATTGACAAAGTTAGCTGATTTTGTGTGAGAGAGAGTTTACATTACACGCCACTGGGTAAACATTTCCCATTGCAACTGTCTAACACCAGCTGTCAATACACGTGTTGTATTTTCTGCCTTTATTTACGTTTACATAATTTACAGTGAGGGAAAAAAGTATTTGATCCCCTGCTGATTTTGTACGTTTGCCCACTGACAAAGACATGATCAGTCTATAATTTTAATGGTAGGTTTATTTGAACAGTGAGAGACAGAATAACAACAAAAAAATCCAGAAAAATGCATGTCAAACATTTTATAAATTGATTTGCATTTTAATGAGGGAAATAAGTATTTGACCCCTCTGCTAAACATGACTTAGTACTTGGTGGCAAAACCCTTGTTGGCAATCACAGAGGTCAGACGTTTCTTGTAGTTGGCCACCAGGTTTGCACACATCTCAGGAAGGACTTTGTCCCACTCCTCTTTGCAGATCTTCTCCAAGTCATTAAGGTTTTGAGGCTGACGTTTGGCAACTCGAACCTTCAGCTCCCTCCACAGATTTTCTATGGGATTAAGGTCTGGAGACTGGCTAGGCCACTCCAGGACCTTAATGTGCTTCTTCTTGAGCCACTCCTTTGTTGCCTTGGCCGTGTGTTTTGGGTCATTGTCATGCTGGAATACCCATCCACAACCCATTTTCAATGCCCTGGCTGAGGGAAGGAGGTTCTCACCCAAGATTTGACGGTACATGGCCCCGTCCATCATCCCTTTGATGCGGTGAAGTTGTCCTGTCCCCTTAGCAGAAAAACACCCCCAAAGCATAATGTTTCCACTTCCATGTTTGACGGTGGGGATGGTGTTCTTGGGGTCATAGGCAGCATTCCTCATCCTCCAAACACGGCGAGTTGAGTTGATGCCAAAGAGCTCCATTTTGGTCTCATCTGACCACAACACTTTCACCCAGTTCTCCTCTGAATCATTCAGATGTTCATTGGCAAACTTCAGACGGGCCTGTATATGTGCTTTCTTGAGCAGGGGGACCTTGCGTGCGCTGCAGGATTTCAGTCCTTCACGCCGTAGTGTGTTACCAATTGTTTTCTTGGTGACTATGTTCCCAGCTGCCTTGAGATCATTGACAAGATCCTCCCGTGTAGTTCTGGGCTGATTCCTCACCGTTCTCATGATCATTGCAACTCCACGAGGTGAGATCTTGCATGGAGCCCCAGGCCGAGGGAGATTGACAGTCCTTTTGTGTTTCTTCCATTTGCGAATAATCGCACCAACTGTTGTCACCTTCTCACCAAGCTGCTTGGCGATGGTCTTGTAGCCCATTCCAGCCTTGTGTAGGTCTACAATCTTGTCCCTGACAGCCTTGGAGAACTCTTTGGTCTTGGCCATGGTGGAGAATTTGGAATCTGATTGATTGATTGCTTCTGTGGACAGGTGTCTTTTATACAGGTAACAAGCTGAGATTAGGAGCACTCCCTTTAAGAGTGTGCTCCTAATCTCAGCTCGTTACCTGTATAAAAGACACCTGGGAGCCAGAAATCTTTCTGATTGAGAGGGGGTCAAATAGTTATTTCCCTCATTAAAATGCAAATCAATTTATAACATTTCTGACATGCGTTTATCTGGATGTTTTTGTTGTTATTCTGTCTCTCACTGTTCAAATAAACCTACCATTTAAAATTATAGACTGATCATTTATTTGTCAGTGGGCAAACTTACAAAATCAGCAGGGGATCAAATACTTTTTTCCCTCACTGTAGCAGAAGATCTTATCCAGAGCGACTTACAAATTGGTGCATTCAACTAATGATAGCCAGTGGGACAACCACCTTAAAAAAAAAAAAAAAAAAACATTTGTGGGGGAAGAAGGATTACTTTATACTATTCCAGGTATTCCTTAAAGAGGGAGGGTTTCAAATGTCTCCGGAAGGTGGTGAGTGACTCCGCTGTCCTGGCGTCGTGGGGGAGCTTGTTCCACCATTGGGGTGCCAGAGCAGCGAACAGTTTTGATTGGGCTGAGCGGGAACTGTGCTTCCGTAGAGGTAGGGGGGCTAGCAGGCCAGAGGTGGATGAACGTAGTGCCCTCGTTTGGGTGTAGGGTCTGATCAGAGCCTGAAGGTAAGGAGGTGCCGTTCCCCTCACAGCTCCGTAGGCAAGCACCATGGTCTTGTAGTAGATGCGAGCCTCAACTGGAAGCCAGTGGAGTGTGCGGAGGAGCGGGGTGACGTGAGAGAACTTGGGAAGGTTGAACACCAGACGGGCTGCGGCATTCTGGATAAGTTGTAGGGGTTTAATGGCACAGGCAGGGAGCCCAGCCAACAGCGAGTTGCAGTAATCCAGACGGGAGATGACAAGTGCCTGGATTAGGAGCCGCTTTCTGTGTAAGGTAGGGTCGTATGTTGTAGAGCATGAACCTGCAGGATCGGGTCACCGCTTTGATGTTAGTGGAGAATGACAGGGTGTTGTCCAGGGTCACGCCAAGGTTCTTTGGACTCTGGGAGGAGGACACAATGGAGTTGTCAACCGTGATGGCGAGATCATGGAGCGGGCAGTCCTTCCCCGGGAGGAAGAGCAGCTCCGTCTTGCTGAGGTTCAGCTTGAGGTGGTGATCCGACATCCACACTGATATGTCTGCCAGACATGCAGAGATGCGATTCGCCACCTGGTTATCAGAAGAAGAAGAACATTAATTGTGTGTTGTCTACGTAGCAATGATAGGAGAGACCATGTGAGGATATGACAGAGCCAAGTGACTTGGTGTATAGAGAGAATAGGAGAGGGCCTAGAACTGAGCCCTGGGGGACACCAGTGGTGAGAGCACATGGTGCGGAGACAGATTCTCGCCACGCCACCTGGTAGGAGCGACCTGTCAGGTAGGACGCAATCCAAGAGTGAGCAGCGCCGGAGATGCCCAACTCAGAGAGGGTGGAGAAGAGGATCTGATGGTTCACAGTATCAAAGGCAGCGGATACAGTGGGGGAAAAAAATGTATTTAGTCAGCCACCAATTGTGCAAGTTCTCCCACTTAAAAAGATGAGAGAGGCCTGTAATTTTCATCATAGGTACACGTCAACTACGACAGACAAATTGAGAGAGAAAAAATCCAGAAAATCACATTGTAGGATTTTTAATGAATTTATTTGCAAATTATGGTGGAAAATAAGTATTTGGTCACGTACAAACAAGCAAGATTTCTGGCTCTCACAGACCTGTAACTTCTTCTTTAAGAGGCTCCTCTGTCCTCCACTCGTTACCTGTATTAATGGCACCTGTTTGAACTTGTTATCAGTATAAAAGACACCTGTCCACAACCTCAAACAGTCACACTCCAAACTCCACTATGGCCAAGACCAAAGAGCTGTCAAAGGACACCAGAAACAAAATTGTAGACCTGCACCAGGCTGGGAAGACTGAATCTGCAATAGGTAAGCAGCTTGGTTTGAAGAAATCAACTGTGGGAGCAATTATTAGGAAATGGAAGACATACAAGACCACTGATAATCTCCCTCGATCTGGGGCTCCACGCAAGATCTCACCCCGTGGGGTCAAAATGATCACAAGAACAGTGAGCAAAAATCCCAGAACCACACGGGGGGACCTAGTGAATGACCTGCAGAGAGCTGGGACCAAAGTAACAAAGCCTACCATCAGTAACACACTACGCCGCCAGGGACTCAAATCCTGCAGTGCCAGACGTGTCCCCCTGCTTAAGCAAGTACATGTCCAGGCCCGTCTGAAGTTTGCTAGAGTGCATTTGGATGATCCAGAAGATGATTGGGAGAATGTCATATGGTCAGATGAAACCAAAATAGAACTTTTTGGTAAAAACTCAACTCGTCGTGTTTGGAGGACAAAGAATGCTGAGTTGCATCCAAAGAACAACATACCTACTGTGAAGCATGGGGGTGGAAACATCATGCTTTGGGGCTGTTTTTCTGCAAAGGGACCAGGACGACTGATCTGTGTAAAGGAAAGAATGAATGGGGCCATGTATCGTGAGATTTTGAGTGAAAACCTCCTTCCATCAGCAAGGGCATTGAAGATGAAACGTGGCTGGGTCTTTCAGCATGACAATGATCCCAAACACACCGCCCGGGCAACGAAGGAGTGGCTTCGTAAGAAGCATTTCAAAGGTCCTGGAGTGGCCTAGCCAGTCTCCAGATCTCAACCCCATAGAAAATCTTTGGAGGGAATTGAAAGTCAGTGTTGTCCAGCGACAGCCCCAAAACATCACTGCTCTAGAGGAGATCTGCATGGAGGAATGGGCCAAAATACCAGCAACATTGTGTGAAAACCTTGTGAAGACTTACAGAAAACGTTTGACCTGTGTCATTGCCAACAAAGGGTATATAACAAAGTATTGAGAAACTTTTGTTATTGACCAAATACTTATTTTCCACCATAATTTGCAAATAAATTCATTAAAAATCCTACAATGTGATTTTCTGGATTTTTTTTCCTCATTTTGTCTGTCATAGTTGACGTGTACCTATGATGAAAATGACAGGCCTCTCTCATCTTTTTAAGTGGGAGAACTTGCACAATTGCTGGCTGACTAAATACTTTTTTCCCCCACTGTAGGTCTAGAAGGATAAGAGCAGAGGGGAGAGAGTTAGCTTTAGCAGTGCGGAGAGGCTCCTTGACACAGAGAAGAGAAGTCTCAGTTGAATGACCATTCTTGAATCCTGACTGGTTTGGATCAAGGTGGTCATTCTGAGAGAGCTAGCAGGAGAGTTGGCTAGAGACGGCACGCTCAAGAGTTTTGGAGAGAAAATAAAGAAGGGATACTGGTCTGTAGTTGTTGACATCGGAGGGATCGAGTGTAGGTTTTTTGAGGAGGGGTGCAATTCTCGCTCTCTTGAAGACGGAAGGGACATAGCCAGCGGTCAAGGATGAGTTGATGAGCGAGGTGAGGTAAGGGAGAAGGTCTCCGGAAATGGTCTGGAGAAGAGAGGAGGGGATAGGGTCAAGCGGGCAGGTTGTTGTTGTTGTTGTTTATGTTATTGTATTATCACCTGTGTTTAGATCACAGACTCGTCGGGACACACCCTCTACTCAAAGGAAGATGCAACGAAAGGGAAGTTTGCCTTCACAACAGAGGATTATGACATGTTTGAAGTGTGCTTTGAGAGCAAGTCACCCATGGGTAAGTCAAAGTGCATAGTATTTATTTTGTGGTACTTAATGATGGGAATCCTTAACCTAGATGTTTGGAAGGATGTTAACCTTAACCTAGATGTTTAAACTCCTGAGTGGCGCAGTGGTCTAAGGCACTGCATCGCAGTGCTAACTGTGCCACTAGAGATCCTGGTTCGAATCCAGGCTCTGTCGCAGCCGGCCGCGACCGGGAGACTCATGGGCGGCGCACAATTGGCCCAGCGTCGTCCAGGGTAGGGGAGGGAATGGCCGGCAGGGATGTAGCTCAGTTGATAGCGCATGGCGTTTGCAATACCAGGGTTGTGGGTTCGATTCCCACGGGGGGCCAGTATGATAAATAAAATAATGTATGCACTCACTAACTGTAAGTCGCTCTGGATAAGAGCGTCTGCTAAATGACTTAAATGTAAATGTAAAATGGAAGGAGCAGGCATTGTTCAATGCAATTTATAGCCTAACTGCATTACTCCTCAAGTAGTCATTTGTTGACAGATTAGCCTGGGTTTGAGTTAGCTTTCCACTGATAAGCATGACACAAAGTACAACAGGTTCTGGATTTCAGGCTATAGCTGGCCAGCACATGCAAGATTTGGGTCAGGGTTCTGAGAACACTCCTCTGTTTAAACACTTAATGGAGGCCAGTCAGTCTGCAACCAATAAGTGAACGAAGCAGCAGGGGATAAATTGGGACGGTACAGGTTTATAGCAGGACCACATTCACTACCCAAGTGTTGTTAAACGTTGCAGATAGAAATGCTAACAGTGTTTGTTCTACATTAGCATATTTCTATCTGAATGAAACAAAACATTGTGACCTGCCAAATGCACTCCATGTGACTGGAAGGAGTCCTTCCAACTTGTGTCATTGCTTGCTGTTATTGAATAAGCTGAGTAAAGCCATCCCATGCCTTGTAAATGTAGTAAATGATGTGTTTGTTCTGTCACCCAGGAACTGGGAGGATCCCTGACCAGCTGGTTAATCTGGACATGAAACACGGAGTGGAGGCCAAGAACTATGAAGAGGTGAGTCACTGGTACTGGCGGTACGGGTGGTACGGGTACAGCTGGTGCTGGTACTGCTGCTGGTACTAGTGGTACTGCTGCTGGTGCTAGTGGTACTGCTGCTGGTGCTAGTGGTACTGCTGCTGGTGCTAGTGGTACTGCTGCTGGTACTAGTGGTACTGCTGCTGGTACTAGTGGTACTGCTGCTGGTACTGCTGCTGCTGGTACTAGTGGTACTGCTGCTGGTACTAGTGGTACTGGTGCTAGTGGTACTGCTGCTGGTACTAGTGGTACTGCTGCTGGTACTAGTGGTACTGCTGCTGGTACTAGTGGTACTGCTGCTGGTACTGCTGCTGCTGGTACTAGTGGTACTGCTGCTGGTACTAGTGGTACTGCTGCTGGTACTAGTGGTACTGCTGCTGGTGCAGGTACTGGTACTGCTGCTGGTACTAGTGGTACTGCTGCTGGTGCTAGTGGTACTGCTGCTGGTACTAGTGGTACTGCTGCTGGTACTGCTGCTGGTACTAGTGGTACTGCTGCTGGTACTAGTGGTACTGCTGCTGGTACTAGTGGTACTGCTGCTGGTACTAGTGGTACTGCTGCTGGTACTGCTGCTGGTACTAGTGGTACTGCTGCTGGTACTAGTGGTACTGCTGCTGGTACTAGTGGTACTGCTGCTGGTACTAGTGGTACTGCTGCTGGTACTGCTGCTGGTACTAGTGGTACTGCTGCTGGTACTAGTGGTACTGCTGCTGGTGCTAGTGGTACTGCTGCTGGTACTAGTGGTACTGCTGCTGGTGCTAGTGGTACTGCTGCTGGTGCTAGTGGTACTGCTGCTGGTACTAGTGGTACTGCTGCTGGTACTAGTGGTACTGCTGCTGGTGCTAGTGGTACTGCTGCTGGTACTAGTGGTGCTGCTTCTGCTGGTACTAGTGGTACTGCTGCTGGTGCTAGTGGTACTGCTGCTGGTACTAGTGGTACTGCTGCTGGTACTAGTGGTACTGCTGCTGCTGCTGGTACTAGTGGTACTGCTGCTGGTACTAGTGGTACTGCTGCTGGTGCTAGTGGTACTGCTGCTGGTGCTAGTGGTACTGCTGCTGGTACTAGTGGTACTGCTGCTAGTGGTACTGCTGCTGGTACTAGTGGTACTGCTGCTGGTGCTAGTGGTACTGCTGCTGGTACTAGTGGTGCTGCTTCTGCTGGTACTAGTGGTACTGCTGCTGGTGCTAGTGGTACTGCTGCTGGTACTAGTGGTACTGCTGCTGGTACTAGTGGTACTGCTGCTGGTACTAGTGGTACTGCTGCTGGTGCTAGTGGTACTGCTGCTGGTACTAGTGGTACTGCTGCTGGTACTAGTGGTACTGCTGCTGGTACTAGTGGTACTGCTGCTGGTACTAGTGGTACTGCTGCTGGTACTAGTGGTACTGCTGCTGGTACTAGTGGTACTGCTGCTGGTACTAGTGGTACTGCTGCTGGGGGGGGGTTTATGTGCACTACGTCATCACGCACAGCCTTTTATCCACAAAAAGGCTGTTTGATGGAAACATCTCTGTCGGGAAAATGCGCATATTGTTTTTAATGCATATTTTAGAATATTCACATGAAAATCTGTCTCCATTTGGATGGAAACCAAGCTAGTGTGATGTGAAACGACTAAAACCGGATGTAAAGTATGGAGATGTACAGTATAGTTTATAGATCATCTTTGAGCATCAACAACCACCAAAATAAAAAACTACACAATCTCATATAAAATTCATGGCATGGGGCTCCCATAGCGAATGGGCGGCAGGTAGCTTAGTGGTTAAGAGCGTTGTGCCAGTAACCGAAAGGTCGCTGGTTCTAATCCCCGAGCCGACTAGATGAAAAATCTGTCGATGTGCCCCTTGAGCAAGGCACTTAACCCTAATTGCTCATGTAAGTCGTTCTGGATAAGAGCGTCTGCTAAATGACTAAAATGTAAAAATGTAAATGATGACTGAGTCACTCTAGTATTAGAACACGGTCTACAGAAAGTATACAAACCAATTGACTTATTCCACATTTTGTTGTTACAACCTGAATTCAAAATGTATTAAATATATATTTTTCTCATCCATCTACACAAAATACCCCGTAATGGCAAAGTGAAAACATGTTTACATTTTTTTTTTTGTGTGCAAATGTATTGAACATAAAATACAGAAATACCTAAATTAACATCAGCATTCACACCCCTGAGTCAATGCATGTTAGAATCACCTTTGGCAGCGATTACGGCTGTGAGTCTTTCTGGGTAAGTCTCTAAGAGCTTTGCACACCTGGATTGTACAATATTTGCACATTATGCTTTTTAAAATTCTTCAAGCTCTGTCAAGTTGGTTGTTGATCATTGCTAGACAGCCATTTTCAAGTCTTGCCATATAGTTTCAAGTAGATTTAAGTCAAAACTGTAACTCGGCCACCAGGGCCTAAAATTAACACTGGCCACCTGCCAAATGCGGGTAGGTTTTGACATTGGCGGCCAAGTAAGATGTCAAAGATTTTTTTCATACTGGCCCCCCGTGGGAATCGAACCCACAACCCTGGCGTTGCAAGCGCCATGCTCTACCAACTGAGCTACACAGGCCCTGTGATATTTTGGTTAAAAGACTCAGGTCACAAAAAATGAAATTAAACCATATACCACATTACTTCTTACTAGTAATGCATTTGTTTTTAGAAACATTACAAAGCAAGCTCATCTGTTTTTTTGTGTTTTGATGGTGTAATGTTAGTGTGCAAAAAGTATTTTGTCTGGTACAAAATCTGAGTGGCTGGTAGAGTTTTTAAATCTACTTCCCACAGTGGCTGGAGGACAAAAAAGTTAATTTTATGCCCTGTCGGCCACTGAGGAACATTCACTGTCTTCTTGGTAAGCAACTCCAGTGTAGATTTGGCCTTGTGTTTTAGGTTATTGACCTGCTGAAAGTTGAATGTGTCTCCCAGTGTCTGTTGGAAAGCAGACTGAGCCAAGTTTTCCTCTAGGACTTTTCCTGTGCTTAGCTCTATTGCGTTTATTTTTATCCTAAAAAACTCCCTAGTCCTTGTCAATGACAAGCATACCCATAACATGATGCAGCCACAGTGATGTGTTGGATTTGCCCCAAACATAACGCTTTGTATTCAGGACATAAAGGTAATTTCTTTGCCACATTTTTTGCAGTATTACTTTAGTGCCTTATTGCAAACAGGATGCATGTTTTGGAATATCTTTATTCTGTACAGGCTTCCTTCTTTTCACTCTGTCATTTAGGTTAGTATTGTGGAGTAACTACAATGTTGTTGATCCATCCTCAGTTTTCTCCTATCACAGCCATTAAACTCTGTAACTGTTTTAAAGTGAGCGGTTTCCTTCCTCTCCGGCAACTGAATTAGGAAGGACGCCTGTATCTTTGTAGTAACTGGGTGTATTGATACACCATCCAAAGTGTAATTAATAACTTCACCATGCTCAAAGGGATATTCAATGTCTGTTTTTTTTTGTTTTTTTCATCTTTGCGAGACATTGAAAAACCTCCCTGGTCTTTGTGGTTGAATCTGTGTTTGAAATCCACTGCTCGACTGAGTCCTTCAAAAAATCATGTTAAACACTATTATTACACATTCTTACTCCTGAACTTATTTAGGCTTGCCATAACAAAGGGGTTGAATACTTATTGACACTCAAGACATTTCATCTTTGTATATATTTTTTTTTTCATTTGTAAAAATGTCAAAAGACATAACTACACTTTGACGTTATGGGGTATTGTGTGTAGACCAGTGACACAATCCATTTTTAAATTCAGGCTGTAGAATAACTAAATGTGGAAAAGTCAAGGTGTGTGTGAACACTTTCTGAAGGCACTACGGTAAACACTGCACACACTGTTCTGCTGACTTGTATTGTGAATTGCTAACCCACTCTACCCACACACCCCACGCACACTGATTGAGCCCGAGGCTAGGCCAGCTACTGCTGTCTGTGTTCATGTGGGCAAGCCTGTGTGGGTGAATACTGTACAGTACATTCGTACTTAGCTACGGAACGTCACTGTGTGGTGTAGACTAGAACGTAGTTGGCAAGGAAACTAGGAAGTGCAAGTTGGCTAGAATCCCTGTCTTGTCTGTAGCCAACGCAATGTCTTGCTACTGTGACGTCTGGTCTGTCTGGTCTGTCTGGTCTGTCTGGTCTGTCTGGTCTGTCTGGTCGTCTGGTCTGTCTGGTCTGTCTGGTCTGTCTGGTCTGTCTGGTCTGGTCTGTCTGGTCTGTCTGGTCTGTCTGGTCTGTCTGGTCTGTCTGGTCATCTGGTCTGTCTGGTCTGGTCTGTCTGGTCATCTGGTCTGTCTGGTCTGTCTGGTCATCTGGTCTGTCTGGTCTGTCTGGTCTGGTCTGGTCTGTCTGGTCATCTGGTCATCTGGTCTGTCTGGTCATCTGGTCTGTCTGGTCATCTGGTCTGTCTGGTCTGTCTGGTCTGTCTGGTCTGTCTGGTCTGTCTGGTCTGTCTGTCTGGTCTGTCTGTTCATCTGGTCTGCCTGGTCTGTCTGGTCTGTCTGGTCTGTCTGGTCTGTCTGGTCATCTGGTCTGTCTGGTCATCTGGTCTGTCTGGTCTGTCTGGTCTGTCTGGTCATCTGGTCTGTCTGGTCATCTGGTCTGTCTGGTCTGTCTGGTCTGTCTGGTCTGCCTGGTCATCTGGTCTGTCTGGTCATCTGGTCATCTGGTCTGTCTGGTCATCTGGTCATCTGGTCTGTCTGGTCATCTTGATTTCACTTGTTCTCTTCGTTCTTATGCCTTGATCAGACCGACAGTGTCATTGCGTTTTGGTACACCAGAAGTACATTCATTTCCAATGGAACACTACGTTTGCCTTGCAGCATTGCGTTGCAGAGGCAGTTGCAACGTATGCATCAAACTGTATGCATCAAACTGTATGCATCAAACTGTATGCTTAGATTTGATAAATAGTAGCAAAAGGTGAATATTGAACTTTTGTTGCACACATATCCACAAAATATGTTGGATTACATAATGAAAAGAGTTTGACTGCATAATTTGTTACGCAGCATTGATGCAATTACGCTGTCGGTCTGATCAAGGCATTACATATTTATTTCAGATACAAAGTTATTAATTTGATTTACTTGGTTGAGAAATGTGATTTTTCCAGTTGTTCTGACATTATCCGCCATTCGTATATATTTGAAACGGCCCTATCCCCTAGTCAAAATCCTGATGATTTTTCAATACAGTCCTGATTCAATCCCTTTTAGATGTGGTTTAGCTGTAGCTTGGGGAAGAGACATTCTGAGAGAGGGGAGCGGTAAAGCGTTGCGCCACCAGACAGATTGCACTGTGTGTTCCTGTTGGAACTATTGGACAATAACTGCCACTGCTACAGCTCAAGAGTGACACCTACTGGACAAACTGGGACACAGCACAACAGTCCAAGCTTCTATCTAGAATGACCTTATTTATAAATGTTCATCCCTTTCCTGCTGCACTATCCAACAAACAACTTGAGGATCCTAAATCCAATCCAATAAACACCAACCAGCAAGGGATGAATTGTGGGGTCGCGTTGTTTTTTGATTGGCAGCTCTCTCGTCCACTCAGATCGCCAAGGTGGAGAAGCTGAAGCCCCTGGAGGTGGAGCTAAGGCGACTGGAGGACCTATCAGAGTCCATCGTCAATGACTTTGCCTACATGAAGAAGAGGGAGGAGGAGATGAGAGACACCAACGGTAAGAAGAACACAGTACTGATAGTAGCATTGCCATTTACTAGTCTGAGATGGACCTGTGTGTGTGTGTGTGTGTGTTGATTATAATAATAATAATATGCCATTTTAGCAGACGCTTTTATCCAAAGTGACTTACAGTCATGTGTGCATATATTTTTACGTATGGGTGGTCCCGGGGATCGAACCCACTACCCTGGCGTTACAAGCGCCATGCTCTACCAATTGAGCTACAGAGGACCACAATTTGATTAATATGGTTGATTAAAATATTTACATTTACGTCATTTAGCAGACGCTCTTATCCAGAGCGACTTACAAATTGGTGCATTCACCTTATAACCAGTGGGATAACCACTTTACAATATGTTTTTTTTTAAATATATATATATTTTTTTATCTTCTTTCTGTCGCACCCAAACCTCCTACCTCACTCCCATCACCCCAAACCAAAGGAAAATAATTTGACATATTCATGTGAGCTGGTCCTTTCTAGAGACTAGTGATTTTCAATCACATTGATGATTAGCTTTAGATCCTAGGCTAATCTTGCTAGCTTGACATGGCATTGAGAACTCTACTGTGATTATAGAAGGCAAATCCACAAAATTCCATCAGACCTAAATGCTCAGAACAATCAGATAATGGTCAACTGGCAGTGTGTGTGTGTGTGTGTGTGTGTGTGAACTTCTCAATCCGTCTATTTGAGAAATCTTCCATTGACATCAATACATGTTTTATGCAGGATTTCAAGGTATACATGTGATTGTTCCTAATGCATAGTCTTAGCTCATCGTCAACACGTATTTTTACATTACATTACTCATTCTCATCAATATTCTATATTTCTAACTACGTTCTCCTTCTTCCAGAGTCCACCAACACACGCGTCCTGTACTTCAGCATTTTCTCTATGTGCTGTCTGATTGGCCTGGCCACCTGGCAGGTCTTCTACCTACGACGCTTCTTCAAGGCAAAGAAGCTCATCGAGTAGAGAGGCACCACCACTCCGCCCAGGGGGGGAGCAGCCAATGCTACCCGACCAACCTCCACCCTCCTCGGACTGGCTTCAGCAAAACGGCACCCTGTTCCCTGTATAGCGACCCTGCTTTTGACCAGAGCCCCATAGGCTGAAGTTTTGCTGAAGCCCCATAGACTCTGGTCAAAAGCAGTTCACTATACAAGGAGTAAATAGGGCACTGTTTGGGACCCATCCAATAATGACAATCAAAGGGTTGAGCAGAACAACTCTACTAGTTTCGTGGGTGTGGTGGTGGTGAGAGAGCGCCAAGGGTAGCCTATTCTCTGAAAGACATATATACCTGGGGCTCATTCAGCAGAGTGAAAAAAACAAAACAAAAAAAGAGTAGAATATACAGATTTTTATTCAGAGCGAGAATGTTCTATGTGTTACAATTCTATCTGCATCCTGCTGAATAAGCGCCTGATGCTTTGAGGATCGATTGTCATTTAATGTGTACAGTTTGATTTGGAGTTATGTTTTATTTTGTTGGGATGAATGGATGCCCCCTTGAGAGAATGTCTATTGCCCTTTTTATATTGTTGTACAAAGTCTTGGCCATGCCAAGCGAGCTATAGGATATAGTGTGCTGTTCATCCCAAATGGCACCCTATTCCCTATATAGTTCACTACTTTTGACCAGGTCCCATAGGGCTCTGGTCAAAGTATTGCACTAGGTAAGCAATAGGGTGACATTTGGGACGTACCTTATATTCTTGATGCCCTTTTTTTTAAGTGAAGCCTTCTATGAACAGCAGGCGGAATGTGGAATAACTCGGGAGAGAGAAACTATGGCAACCACTGAACTTCTGTGTTTGGTCAGTTTTAAATAATTTGAATACATGTTTGGTAACTAGATTTTGACAGGGTCTTTTAGTTTGTTTTGATATTGTAAATGCTATGTAGTTGCTATCGCAGGGCAGGTATTTTTTGGGGGGAGAGGGTTTCATAAATTATCAGGGAATTAATGGTTGGTTTTCTTTTAAATGGCACCCTGTTCCAGATAAAGTGCACGGGGCCCTGGTCAAAAGTAGTGCGCTATTTAGGGAATAGGGTGCCATTTGGGATGCAGTAAATATCATCTTGAAAACTAGGTCATTTCTAGGAGAACACTTGTTGCAAGTTCTTCCGTTTTTAATTGTATTTTAAGATGCACAAAAGATAACAGCCACACATCTACGTTGCCATCTGAACGTGTTTTAAGCCAAGTGGTAGTTCCCTGTATGAATTACTCCTCTCTTCCTCTTTTGAGAACCCTTGAATCTGGCTATTAGAACTTGACCCACACATACATGTCAATCCTTATTACTAGCAAAATGGCAGACGACAACATCAGAACGAGTGCTGAAAAGGAGGATAGTAGGATTGTACTGCCATTGTACATGCCAGCTTTGCATCGGTGGTGATTTTGTAGTAACATGGAAAATATCCTAACTTCCTTGGATGTGTTCCATTTTGAGTAGGCTAGTGTATTTTTTTTTTAATATTTTTTTTTACTGCAATTTCAGGGGAAATTATTTGCTTCTTTAGCCTGGTCCCAGATCTGTTTGTTTGACGACAGTGACCATGGGAGTTGGCAAAGCAAGACAACACAAACAGATCTGGGACAAGGCTATTGCTTCTTGTTTTTGGGGATCGATTCCAAATTACAACACTTACATCCAAGATCCTAGCCTGGCCAACATTCTTTTGGAGATAATTATGGGGTTTTGGTTACATGAGGGTTTGGAGTTAGTTAAAAGATATTCCAACTATTTTTTGTCATTGTTATTAACATACAGTGCATACAGTTTTAACAGTGAACATTTGCTATGTTTTCAATCAATGATTTCTGTGTTGATTGATATCAATTTTGTAAAGGTTTGTGTTGGGCTTTTATTCAATAAAAATATTGGATGGATTTACAAAACATGCTGCTTGGGATTTTGTGATGTGAGGACCCAGGGACATTCACGCAGCATTATCACAGAACAATGAGCCGGATGTATAAATGTGAAGCATCCAGTTGGCGTTTCCGCTCACTACCAAATCTGGCGATGAGAGGGAAGCCCAGTGGCCGGCAGTGGGAGAAGATGGAGCGAGATGGGTTTTCGCCGACATTCTGCAAATTTTCTTATCGATAAAACATTTGAATTCCATATAGCTTTCTGTTTACAAAACTAAAATCTGTAACAGTGGACCGCGTTTTTTAGACTTTGGCAACGTTTCTACAAATTGCGTTGTTTAGAAGGAGTGCATGGGCGAATTGATTTATTGCACAAGCGCTTCACAGAGTAGGCGTCCCTAAGGGAAATCTCACTAGCTCGTGCTTGGCTCTAAAAATCTTTGTCATTATGGCATCTTCATAAGTGATTCATATATATATATATATATATATATATATATATATTATTTTATAAAGATTCTATTAGTACTGTCTACCTAATATTATAAAATATGATTAAATTATTATGAAATCTATGAAAATATTGCAAGATGTGTGTGTTTCTAATCATTTGGTCCAATCAGCGTTGGAAAAACTCCTGACTATTTGTGTGATTTTTGTTGTTGTATTCTTTCTTAAAACTGCATTGTTGGTTAAGGGCTTGTAAGTAAGCGTTTCACTGTAAGGTCTACACCTGTTGTATTCGGCACATGTGACAAATAACATTTGATTTGATTAGACTAGTATAATGACCCGGACGCACCCTCCTTCACGCGCAATGTAGTTCCGGTTCAACTTCCCCTCTAAGTAAAGGTGTGACAACACCAAATTGTTTTAATATAGCATCTAGCAAGTGAATTCAGAAAACAATATGCCTGGGGCAGACAAGGAAACAGATCTTACGGAGCGAATTGAGGCTTTTCTGGCCGATTTGAAGCGGGGAGGCAGTGGGACAGGACCCCTCCGAGGGTCGGGGGAAATGGCCAGAGAAACCACATATTTGCTTCGGAGAATAACAGCCCAAACAAGATGGAGCAGCGCAGGTATACGTTATAACAGCAGAACTCTAGCTAGTTTTGTTCGATGGCTAGATTAATGGTTTTATAGTTTTCAAGCTAGATGTAAGTGTTTTTTGTAAATTAAATTTGACATTTGTGACCAACTTTTTATCCACTATCCGACGCATTGTGATAGTAACGTTAGCAAGCTGTCAAAATCTGAACTGCCACGAGAAGTTGATGTCATTTCATTTGTAATTTGTCTGAACACAATAACACAGATAGAACAATTAGCCAGATATTTCACCGGATTTATAAATGTGAAGCATCCGGTTGGCTTGTCCACTCACTACCAAATATGGTGATGGGGGAAGATGGAGCGAAATGGATCTTGGCCGACATTCTGCTAATTTTCTCACCAAGCTAAACATTTGAACTCCATTCAGTTTTCTGTTTCCAAAACTAGAATCTGTAACAAACAGAGTGGACTGCGTTTTGTAGACTTTAACCTTTGCCAAAGTTTCAAAAAAAATTGCGTTGTTTAGGAGTGCAAGGGCGAATTGGAGTTATTGCACACTTCACATAGTAGGCGTTACCTAACGGAAATATGCAAATAAATGCTAGAACGCGCCAATAGGAGCTCACTAGCTCCTGCTTGGCTCTGCGCACCTCCTTGCTGGTTCTGACCACTATGATTAATTTGTTCCCATTGGAAATGACAGGCTGTGGTCTATCTTGGGATATTTCTAAAAGTCTTTGATAATAGAGCTCGCCAGCGTGTAGTCCTAAAACCCGGAAATAAGGTACCTCTGGCTCGTTAAGTCATCCCAATAACCCGGAAATAAGTTACCTCTGGCTGTTCAGTCATCCCAATGGGAAAAATGAATGGGAAATGAAGGGATTTGTAATAAACGCCGAAAATAAGGTCTGAGGTTAACACAGGCTTAGGAGATCTTATACATTTTGTTCTATGCGATAATACCAGTCAGTTAACATTACCTTTATGAATTATGAAGCCTTTATGTGCTTTAGGTGTGTTTTATCATTACATAAATTCTTCAAAATTCACAAAAAGTGACGTTAGCTGATGAAGATTGTCATATAACAAAACATATAAGATCTCCTAAGCCTGTGTTTACCACAGGCCTTGTTTTTAGCGTTTATCCAAACCCCCTAAAAAAACGCTATTCATTTACCCCATAGGCATTGTCCAACAAACCATGACGGAGTTGGTTCCTACAAAAAGACGCCATTACTATTTCTCTATTCACTACTAGGAATGATGCACGACTCCAACACCATCATTAAGTTTGCCGACGACACAACAGTGGTAGGCCTGATCACCGACAACGATGAGACAGCCTATAGGGAGGAGGTCAGAGACCTGGCAGTGTGGTGCCAGGACAACAACCTCTCCCTCAACGTGACCAAGACAAAGGAGATGATTGTGGACTACAGGAAAAAAAAGAGGACTGAGCACGCCCCCATTCTCATCGACGGGGCTGTAGTGGAACAGGTTGAGAGCTTCAAGTTCCTTGGTGTCCACATCACCAACGAACTATCATGGTCCAAACACACCAAGACAGTCGTGAAGAGGGCACGACAAAGCCTATTCCCCCTCAGGAGACTGATAAGATTTGGCATGGGTCCTCAGATCCTCAAAAAATTCTACAGCTGCACCATCGAGAGCATCCTGACTGGTTGCATCACCGCCTGGTATGGCAACTGCTTGGCCTCCGACCGCAAGGCACTACAGAGAGTAGTGCGTACGGCCCAGTACATCACTGGGGCCAAGCTTCCTGCCATCCAGGACCTCTATACCAGGCGGTGTCAGAGGAAGGCCCTCAAAATTGTCAAAGACTCCAGCCACCCTAGTCATAGACTGTTCTCTCTGCTACCGCACGGCAAGCGGTACCGGAGCGGCAAGTCTAGGTCCAAAAGACTTCTCAACAGCTTCTACCCCCAAGCCATAAGACTCCTGAACAGCTAATCATGGCTACCCGGACTATTTGCACTGCCCCCCCACCCCATCCTTTTTACGCTGCTGCTACTCTGTTAATTATTTATGCATAGTCACTTTAACTCTACCCACATGTACATATTACTTCAACTACCTCAACTAGCCGGTGCCCCCGCACATTGACTCTGCACCGGTACCCCCCTGTATATATAGCCTCCCTACTGTTATTTTATTTTACTTCTGCTCTTTTTTTTTTCTCAACACTTTTTTTGTTGTCTTATTTTTACTTTTTTTTTGTTAAAAATAAATGCACTGTTGGTTAAGGGCTGTAAGTAAGCATTTCACTGTAATGTCTGCACCTGTTGTATTCGGCGCATGTGACCAATAAAATTTGATTTGATTTGATGTATGACAAAGAAATCCTCTTGTATGTCACAACAGGCGACCTGATGGAGATCATTCGCAATGAGGGAAGGAGAATGACTGCCGCCCAACCGTCCGAGACCACCGTGGGCAACATGGTACGGCGCGTGCTCAAGATCATCAGGGAGGAGTATGCCAGGTGAGGAGAGATGGGGATTCTGGGGAATATTCCTTCAAAGAGAACTGGCTGACGGTTTGTAATAAACATTGTGTTAATCTGGTGTCAACTCTGATTCTGATACAGTTGTTATGGCTGTCCATATCACGGGCTAGTCTGGGTACCAATCTGTTTAGCTGTCGTTCCACTCCTTACCACTCCTGTCTTGCTAAACATCTTTGGCATATGCCATGGAGTACAGGGAGTGGAACATTTAGCTAAACAGAATGGTACCAGGTTAATCATGGGCTAGTGTAAAGATGCCATTTGGCAAATGATTTAATAGATGGAAATGTTGAAGATCTCCTCTCTGTTGCAACTCTACTCCACGTTAAAGCTACCGTCTGTAAGATGTCTTGTTGTTCTATGGTCATTTCAGTGAAATATACACCAGCTTGTCACTCTATTCTCCTGTGAACTGTGTTTTGTTTCTTCAGGTCCCGTGGCAGCAGTGAGGAGACAGAGCAGCAGGAGTCCCTTCACAAGTTGCTGACCTCAGGGGGGCTGAGCGAGGAGAACTTCAGACAGCACTTTGCTCCTCTCAAAGCCAACGTCATAGAGGCCATCAATGAACTCCTCACAGAGTTAGGTAAGATACTCACTGAGAGCACACACGTTAACACCAACCGTTATCACATACTTTCCTGCAGCTTTTTAAGCTGATCATGTCTCTTAACTGAAGCATAAGGAACATAAAATATCTTACTGTATCTTTGCTTTCTATCTTCTGGAGGCTGTAGTTGGCATTAGCTGAAGTGAAAATGATTTGAACAAAGTCCCCTTTCAACCTCCTGTTCTCTAGTGTTTTTAATCTGTACACTGGTTATTCCTAAAGATCCTATGAGAATATGAACCTTGGTCAAGCAGCACTGAGCTAACTGTTATATTCTCCTCCTTGTCGCCGTCCTCTCTCCCAGAGGGCACCACAGACAACATCGCCATGCAGGCCCTGGAGCACATCCACTCCAACGAGGTCATCATGACTGTCGGCCGCTCGCGCACCGTCGAGGCCTTCCTCAAAGACGCAGCGAGGAAACGCAAGTTCCACGTCATCGTGGCCGAGTGTGCTCCCTTCTGCCAGGTATCCACCGTCCGCTCCGATCATCCCTCCCTCCCTCTATAGCACTAGTGTATATGTAATGAGATAAAGGAGGCGTCTATTTCATTCATATACTCTCTCCATAATATTACTTCATTATTTAATATGCTACAGTAATGACCTTTTGTCTCTCTCCCAAGGGTCATGAAATGGCTACTGGTCTCTCCAAAGCAGGCATCGAGACCACTGTAATAGCAGATGCTGCCATATTTGCAGTGATGTCCCGAGTTAATAAGGTGAGTTTTACTATTATTATTATTATTTATTTTTACTGTGATGTTGCTTATTTTAGAATAGGCTCTTTTCTAAACTATTGATAGCTTGACTACATTTAATGGACCGGATGTGGTGATGTCCAATGTTTTCCAGGTCATCATCGGTACACAGACAGTTCTGGCCAATGGCGGTCTCCGGGCGGTCAATGGAACCCACACCGTAGCTCTGGCAGCCAAGCACCACTCTACTCCCCTCATCGTATGCGCTCCCATGTTCAAGCTCTCCCCTCAGGTATTCACAACAATATTCGGTATGAACAAGAAGACTTTCTGGGTAGAGATCGATGTCAGTTCAGTGAGCCCTTTCTTCACTAAAAAGCGTCTTTCTTATTGAATGACTGAAATAGTTGTTTTCTTGTTCTCAGTTCCCCAATGAAGAGGACACGTTCCATATGTTTGTCTCCCCACACGAGGTGCTTCCATTCACAGAAGGTAGTACTTTATTGACGTAACATATTTAATGTTTTGTATTAAATAGTGATATATTGTAAGAGACTCACACCATAAAGTAATCAACGCTTCTCTGTGTAAAAGCTACAAAATGACTGCTTATTTGTAAGTAAGCATTTCACTGTAAGGTCTACACCTGTTGGCACATGTGGCAAATACAATTTGATTTGATTGTTTATTCTCATCTGACTCAATCTGTTTGTTTTGTCTCTGTAGGAGAGATTCTATCCGAGGTGAACGTGCACTGCCCCGTGTTCGACTATGTTCCTCCTGAACTCATCACTCTGTTTATCTCTAACATCGGAGGCAACGCTCCCTCTTACATCTACCGGCTGATGAGTGAACTCTACCATCCTGAGGACCACAAACTGTAATCAGTGTACAGAAAATGCAAATAATAATAAAAAGGTTTATGCAATGGATTGCATTTGGTTTGTTTTAGTCTTCCACAATGATTTGCTGCAAGTTTCAGAACTTTTTGTTTCAGACTTCATTCTAATTTAATTTAATTTACAGAAAACGTTATTTCAAAGCAGAAAAATAATGACATTCTTTACAATGATATTGTTTCCAGTATGAAACCAGAACAGCGCCCACTTCTGGAGCTCTCGATGAAGTATTCAGAAAGATAATTATAGTTACGCCGGATCACCAGCAGGCGGCGGTCAAGTGATTTCTTTTTTCTTACTGTCTTTCACACGGTTTCACAGAGAAACGGGCGAGAATGAAGCAAATAAATTAACGTTATCGTTACAAATTGTTCCCACTGGACACACACTGGTTGAATCAATGTTGTATCCATTTAATTTCAATGAAATTACGTTGACCCAACGTGGAATAGACGTTGCATTGAGATCTGTGCCCTGATGGTTTCTTTATGATACATAAAGTGCACATTTCAGTTACAAATGCAAAACAACAGATTCATAAAGGTAGTAAAAGGTTTTATAAACGTGATTTGGAAAACAGCTCAAAAAGACTGGGTCCCGCTGTATTGCTCAGGCTGCACAACAGCGTCTATTCACAGGCGCGATCCCACTACTGAGCGGCACGGGGGCTTTGGCCTGCTCCGTTTCCGACCTGGGCCGGTGCACCCCTCCTTAGACGACCTGGTGGTCCCGGGCTCCCCCAGGAGCACCATATCGATACCGAACTTAGTGCGGACACCCGATCGGCATAGTCCACTGCAGCTCAGAACTCCTGAACTCAAACGATCCGCCAGCCTAAGCCTCCCAGCAACTTGGATTACAGGCGCACGCCACTGCACCCGGCTAGAAACGAGAGGGTTTTAAGGGTATTTGAAGATAAATTCGTGACGTCACACAACGCGTCACACGCCTCCTAGTGTGGTCAACAGCGACCTATTGTGTTGGCATACGAAATTGCAGCGGAAATTGCAGCGGTGTTCAAATTTTGCTTGCCTTCCATGCTGAAAGCATGTTCTTGTGGGTGACCCTTCAGTAAGGTACATCTACTTATGTAAAAAAAAGAACTAACACTCGCACTTGTCATTTCCTATAAGCACTGACTTTACTAATAATTACTTTATTGTAGTTACAGGCATCACTGCCTGGTATGGCAACTGCTCGGCCTCCGACTGCACGGCACTACAGAGGGTAGTGCGTACGGCCCAGTACATCACCAGGACCTATATACCAGGCGGTGTCAGAGGAAGCCCCTAAAAATGGTCAAAGACTCCAGCCACCCTAGTCATAGACTGTTCTCTCTGCTACCACACTGGAAGCGGTACCGGAGCGCCAAGTCTAGGTCCAAAAGACTTCTCAACAGCTTCTACCCCCCCAAGCCATTAGACTCCTGAACAGCTAACCATGGCTACCCGGACTATTTGCATTGTCTCAGTAAACTCTGGAGCTAAGCCATGTGTCTTGTAACAGTGAATTCATTTTATTGAGTGAAGGACAATGATAAATTATGTACCTTTTACAATGATAAATTATGATTCCTACTCCACCAAACTTTACAGTTGGCACTATGCATTGGGGCAGGTAGCTTTCTCCTGGCATCCGACAAACCCAGATTCGTCCTTTTGACTGCCAGATGGTGAAGTGTGATTCATCACTCCAGAGTCCACTGCTCCAGAGTCCAATGGCGGCGAGCTTTACACCACTCCAGCCGACGCTTGGCATTGCACATGGTGATCTTAGGCTTGTGTGTGGCTGCTCGGCCATGGAAACCCATTTCATAAAGCTCCCGACGAACAGTTATTGTGCTGATGTTGCTTCCAGAGGCAGTTTGGAACTTGGTAGTGAGTGTTGCAACCGAAGACAGACAATTTTGACGTGCTACTCGCATCAGCACGCTTCGGTCCCGTTCTGTGAGCTTGTGTGGCCTACCATTTCGCGGCTGAGCCGTTGTTGCTCCTAGACGTTTCCACTTTACAATAACAGCACTTACAGTTGACCGGGGCAGCTCTAGCAGGGCAGAAATGTTACGAACTGACATGTTGGAAAGGTGGCATCCTATGACGGTGCCACGTTGAAAGTCACTGAGCTCTTCAGGAAGGCCATTCTACTGCCAACGTTTGTCTAAGATTGCATGGCTGTGTGCTCAGTTTTATACACCTGTCAGCAACGGGTGTGGCTGAAATAACCGAATCCACTAATTTGAAGGGGTGTCCACATACTTTTGTATATATATACACTGAACAAAAATATAAACGCAACATGCAACAATTTCAAAGATTTTACTGAGTTAACAGTTCATAGAAGGAAATCAGTCAATTTAAATAATTAATTAGGCCCTAATCTATGGATTTCACATGACTGGGCAGGGGCGCAACCATGGCCCACCCACTTGGGAGCCAGGTCCACCCACTGGGGAGCCAGGCCCAGCCAATCAGAATGAGTTTACTCCCACAAAAGGGCTCTATTTCAGACATAAATGCTCCTCAGCACCCCACCCCCCTCCACCTCCTCAGATGATCTTACAGGTGAAGAAGCCGGATGTGGAGGTCCTGGGCTGGCGTGGTTACACATGGTCTGCGGTTGTGAGGCCGGTTGTATGTACTGCCAAATGCTCTAAAATGATGTCGGCTTATGGTAGAGAAATGAAAATGTAATTCTCTGGCAACAGCTCTGTTGGACATTCCTGAAGTCAGCAGGCCAATTGCAGGCTAGCCTCAACTTGAGACATCTGTGGCATTGTTGTGTGTGACAAAACTGCCCATTTTAGAGTGTCCTTTTATCGTCCCAAGCACAAGGTGCACCTGTGTAATGATCCTGCTGTTTAATCAGCTTCTTGATATGCCACACCTGTCAGGTGGATGGATTATCTTGGCAAAGGAGAAATGCTCACTAACAGGGATGTAAACAAATGTGTGCACAAAATTGAAGAGAAATAAGCTTTTCGTGCGTATGGAACATTTCTGGGACCTTTTATTATAGCTCATGAAAAACGGGACCAACACTTCACATGTTGCGTTTATATTTTTGTTCAGTGTAATATATATATACATATAATCTCAATTTCTCTACCCCTTACAGCCAGAAGAGGACTGTCCACCCCTCAGATCCTGGTTCCTCTCTAGGTTCCTGCCATCTAGGGAGTTTTTCCTAGCCACTGTGCTTCTACATCTGCATTGCTTGGTGTTTGAGGTTTTAGGCTGGGTTTCTGTATAAGCATTTTGTGACAACTGCTAATGTAAAAAGGGCTTTATAAAAATACATTTGATTGATGTTCAGTGTGGAAACAGATATAAAAAGGCACCCAGTCAGTCCAGCAGCCTAATGAGGTTATGAAAATACACAGACCAGCAACATGACATGTGGAGTATTTTAATATACTTTCAGCATTATCAAAAAAAAATGCAGTACAACAACTTTACAAAACCCTGTAAGTTTTGTCTGGTTAAAAAAAATGTCAGTTTCGCAAATAAAAATGAAATAAATGCAAATAAAGGACTGACCAGATAATCGTTGATAATTAAACCGTAAGAGAATAAAACATTAACTGAACAGCATCACCACATCTTCTATAGCAGGGATCGTCAACTAGATTCAGCCACGGGACGATTTTTTTCTAACGGATGTTCAGGGGGCCAGATCATAAAAAAATAAACATAAAAATGTGTAGACTGTAAATTGACGGCAAGAAGCCCAAACAGATATATTTGACTAAAACATAATTACTTCAAACCTTGCTTACATTTGTATACAATCACATATCTCTCCATTACGCGTGGGAATAGTTTGGAACAGATTACCAAAGTTAAAATCACTTGAAGCTGATATGCTGGTGTTTGTACAGTTGTATGTCCAAAAAAAAGAAATAAAAAAACCTCTAAAAACTTGAGGGGCCAAATAAAAATCACCTGCGGGCCAAATTCAGGCCACGCGCCGCAAGTTGGGGAACCCTGTTCTATAGCTCCACATCTAGACTGTCAGTCAGTCTCAGGTCTCAGGCCCCCATGTAGTCTAGCTAGAAAAACACAAGGAAAATAAAGAAGTGCATTAGGATCCAAATAGGGCACAGTTAAGTACGGAGAGTTAATGGGTAGGTAATACTAGGTATGTGTAACGCCGGGTTACCTGTTCATGGGTAGGTAATACTAGGTATGTGTAACGCCGGGTTACCTGTTCATGGGTAGGTAATACTAGGTATGTGTAACGCCGGGTTACCTGTTCATGGGTAGGTAATACTAGGTATGTGTAACGCCGGGTTACCTGTTCTGGGTAGGTAATACTAGGTATGTGTAACGCCGGGTTACCTGTTCTGGGTAGGTAATACTAGGTATGTGTAACGCCGGGTTACCTGTTCTGGGTAGGTAATACTAGGTATGTGTAATGCCGGGTTACCTGTTCTGGGTAGGTAATACTAGGTATGTGTAACGCCGGGTTACCTGTTCTGGGTAGGTAATACTAGGTATGTGTAACGCCGGGTTACCTGTTCTGGGTAGGTAATACTAGGTATGTGTAACGCCGGGTTACCTGTTCTGGGTAGGTAATACTAGGTATGTGTAACGCCGGGTTACCTGTTCTGGGTAGGTAATACTAGGTATGTGTAACGCCGGGTTACCTGTTCTGGGTAGGTTATACTAGGTATGTGTAACGCCGGGTTACCTGTTCTGGGCCTTAGTCCACTTGAGGGCGTGTCTGGGAGGGACTGAGGCAGTGGGGTGGTAGAAGGTGCAGCCAACACGTTTACACTGGCCTCCAAACCGACAAGGCTGACAGAGACAGAAAACAGTCTTCATCTTAAAAAAAGTTACACAGCAACATTTTTGATCAGCACTCAACCATTCATTATTTCCTTAATAGTGTCCTCGTGAAAGATTTTTATACAACAAAAACAGCCCCGACGGCTCTATTTGAGGACAAACTCCTCTCGACCTCACGGCCTCTGACCTTGGGGTGGTGGAAAGCGCAGTCCATCTTCTTACACTCTGGGAAGAAACGACACACACTGCTGGACTGAGGTGAAGGAGCTGTAATCAAACAGACAGACGTTTACATTTTAGTCATTTAGCAGACGCTCTTATCCAGAGCGACATACAGGAGCAATTAGGGTCAAGTGCCTTGCTCAAGGGCACGTCGACAGATTTTTCACCTAGTCGGCTTCGGGGATTAGAACCAGCGACCTTTCGGTTACTGGCACAACGCTCTTAACCACTAAGCTACCTGCCGCCCCGGACCAACTTAGAAGACATGAAATAAAAGGTAAAATCTCAACCGGTAATATTTACACATTTAACAAACCAACGTACACAAACATCCTAATCTAATGCTGCGTTCGTAAACATCTCGTTAAATATGTTTTTCTAACACTATAATTTAATTACGAGTATGATAGCTGTACTTCTAGTTTATGGTTGACCCAGCTTGTTTGCCATTAGCCAATTGGCGTTCAAAATCGGCAAAAAAATAGGTTCAAAGCACGTGAATGCACGCCAGTCGTTGCTCCCCGTTTACAAGTAGTATTTTCAGAGAGTTTTCCCACTTGAATGCAGCGTAAGGTTGTAATCTACTGGGGGAGGGGCTTAAAGGGGTGTGTCTGTACCTGGTCTGACTGGGGGGGTGTAGGGGGCGGGTCCTCTGCGGCTGACGTGAGTGAAGGGGCAGTCTGGTTTGGAACACTTGCCGTCAAACTTACAGTTAGGATGGACAAACAGGCATTTGTCCCCAAACTTACAGCTGGGGAAAGGTTCTAGACACAGAGAGGGGGGGGGACAGAGGAGGGAACAACATATTAGTCAAGTCAATAAAAACATCAATGAATCTATGTAGCTTTAGGGTTTTAAAAAAAAACTACACAATTCCACAAAACCAACTAAAAAATGTAGACGTCATTTTGATTTTCAATTCGTCGAGGGCCTAACGGGTCTTTATTCAACATCCTAGAGACTAAAGTACGTCAGGGTTGTTCCTACTTGCACTGTGTAGTAGGGTGAAGGTAGACACAGTCGTCTCCACTCTTACAGACAGGCCAGAACTTGCACCGCTCCAGAACCTTCCGTCTCTTCACAGGACCCGCCTCCTCCGTCTCCATCCCTGCTTCTGAAACCCGAAGATGGACAATGAAAGAGGGATGACAGAGTTTAGATGAAGGCTTGCTGTCCAGATCAGAAACGACTGTAGTGAGGTATCCAACCCAGCTCTCCGCGTCTCCGGGGTGTTTCTTACAAAAAGCATTCCAAACGAAAACGTTGACTGGTACCCTTTCCAGCACACAGTGTCAAAGCTGGCTGGCGAGAACATCCTAAAGTCTCTTTACCTCGCCTAGAACCTCTTTTCAATTGAGAAAATACAGATTTCTTGTAGTTTGTTTTCGCTGCCACTGACAGTAGTGACTGGTGAACATCCACAGTCGGCTCACAGACTAGACCAGAAAACGGGTCCAGCGGAGCTGCATTGTTGTTGACAGAAAGTGTGTTATGGTGGCTGACTGCTGTGGTATCCTAATCTGTTATACAGAGACAGCCAATCAGAACATCTCAACAACATCTGGTGTGGACCATTATGATTATTCACTAGTAATAAAAGGATGCATCAAGTGCTGACAGGTGCAAGTGCTTAACCATTGAAAAAGCCTTCGCAATCGTAATACCCGAGTATCGAAGCTTACACCCTAATGCTAATAATAGAAGCGAAATATTGCATTTTATTTATAACCGTTTTACCAATAAATCAGTGAATAAATAAATCCCTTACCGTCAGGGTATTGTGGTTCCCCCTGCAGTCTGTGGTGGATGCTGAGTTTGGGTTTTGTTCTGAGGTGGATGGAGGGGTCAGGCATGGGGGTCTTGGCTGGTTTAGGATAACTGTCATCTGCCTCCATGTCACAGTCTCCTAGGTTACCCAGGGGGCTAGGAACCCCATCCAGGGTCACAATGAACTTAGGACTGGCTGACCCCACGGCTTCAGCCTTCTCACTGCTAGGAGGGAGAAGGGGGAGGAAGGAGGGAGAAGGGAGAGGGGGGAGGAAGGAGGAAGAAGGGAGAGGGGGGAGGGAGGGAGGAGGAAGAAGAAGGGAGAGGGGTGAGGGAGGAGGGAGGGAGACATATAGACACACAAACGCATTATGACAGTTTTGTTCACTTCCAGCCTAGTTTAGGTGTGTGGTTATTATGGGGCCATCTTAGCTTGTTTCCAGAGAGCCATGCTGGATCCCTGCTGCTGCAACAACGGTCAGTATGACTCATAAAGAGGGTAGTCAGTAAGAGTCATGAAGAGGGTAGTCAGTATGAGTCATAAAGAGGGTAGTCAGTATGAGTCATGAAGAGGGTAGTCAGTATGAGTCATAAAGAGGGTAGTCAGTATGAGTCATGAAGAGGGTAGTCAGTATGATATACCTGGCTGGCTGCACCATGCGTGGAGTAGCTGGCTGGATCTCCTCCTTGACCATGGCTCCCAGCCTGCTCCTCATAGGCACTATAGTCTCCTCCTGTCTACTCCTCATAGGAGGTTCCACTTCCTCCAGTCCCAGTCTACTCCTCATAGGAGGTGCCACCTCCTCCAGTCCACTCCTCATAGGAGGTGCAACCTCCTCTAACCCCAGCCTACTCGTCATAGGCACCTAACAGGACCACAATGGAAATAAGATATTACATTGGATTGTGTTATACTCAATGACTTTAAATGCGGTTGTTACTCTCTGAGTTCACAATAGAGTGGTTACGTGTATCTGCATGCGTCTCAATCCATCTGCCGATGTCGGCCTTCCATCTGCGGTGGAAAGCAGCAGAGCTACAGCACTTTGTCAGACCAGGAGACAACACGAAAATCGGTCTTCTCACCAAAACGGTTTGACCAACAAAACTAATATGACCCCTCTACGGAAAGATGACTCACGAACACGAAGGACTCGTCTGAAGGTAACCTGGTACCGGTTTAAAGAAATGAAATTGAAGATGTTTTGAGATCCCTCAAACACAACTCTGGACATCGAAGTCAGGTCCACTGCGGTTTACATTTTCCCCCTCTAATCAGGGACTGATTTAGACCTGGGACACCAGGTGTCTGCAATTAATTATCAGGTAGAACAGAAAACCAGCAGGCTTCGGGCCTCGTAGGGTCAGAGTTGAATACCCTTGTCCTAGATATAGAACAGACACTTCAAAACCTTGATGATTTATTGTTTGACGGTCTGTTTTGTTATTCAATGCACTTCTCTGGGCTATAGTTGGAAAGGCCAAATTCTATAATTTATCAAATAATAAAAACAATTTATACCTAAAGGGGTCCTAAAATTCTAAATCAAATAGCTACACGATCCATGGTATGACCATCTTAAAACAATTCCCTATGTCAGCGTATAGAACCCCCCCCCCCCCCCCCCCCCCCCCAACAGCTTAGACTTTTAGGAGTCAACTTCAGTCTACATGTATTTTCATGCAAACATTTTTTTTCTCCAAAATGGATCCAATAGTTATCTTAACCACCATCACCTTGTCCAGTTGTCCCAGTCTGCTCCTGACAGGAAGCACCTCCTCCCCCAGCTCAGGCCTCCTCGTGATGAAGGAGCGGGTGTCAAAAGGCCTCAGAACACTCCCCTCGGCCACCTCTAGAGCTACACAGGGTGATGTGAGAAACTTCTTAGTTAATCCTGATGTTATACAAATCAGTCCTGAGTTAGAGTCAAACTAAGCAGTCCTACTCTCCAGTGTTAGTAGTATTTGTTATGGATCCCCATTAGTTCCTGCCAAGGCAGCAGCTACTCTTCCTGGGGTCCAGCAAAACTAAGGCAGTTATACATTTAAAAAAAACATTACAATACTACATTCATAACCGATATCAACATATTAAGTGTGTGCCCTCAGGCCTCTACCCTACTACCACAAATATATAACCCAAAATCCATGTCTACACGTGTGTATAGTGTGTATGTTATCATGTGTGTGTCTGTATGTGTCTATGTTGCTTCACAGTCCCATCTGTTCCATAAGGTGTATTTTTATCTGTTTTTTTTAAATCTAATTTTACTGCTTGCATGAGTTACCTGATGTGGAATAGAGTTCCATGTAGTCATGGCTCTATGTAGTACTGTGCGCCTCACATAGTCTGTTCTGGACTTGGGGACTGTGAAGAGACCCCCTGTAGCTCAGTTGGTAGAGCATGGCGCTTGCAATGCCAGGGTTGTGGGTTCGATTCCCACGGGGGGCCAGTATGGAAAATGTATGCACTCACTAACTGTAAGTCACTCTGGATAAGAGCGTCTGCTAAATGACTAAAATGTGGCATGTCTTGTGGGGTATGCATGGGTGTCCGAGCTGTGCGCCAGTAGTTTAAAACAGACAGCTCAGTGCATTCAACATGTCAATACCTCCCATAAATATAAGTAGTGATGAAGTCAATCTCTCCTCCACTTTGAGCCAGGAGAGATTGACATGCATATTATTAATGTTAACTCTCTGTGCACATCCAAGGGCCAGCTGTGCTGCCCTGTTCTGAGCCAATTGTAATTTTCCCAAGTCCCTCTTTGTGGCACCTGACCACACGACTGAACAGTAGTCCAGGTGCGACAAAACTAGGGCCTGTAGGACCTGCCTTGTTGATAGTGTTGTTAAGAAGGTAGAGCAGCGCTTTATTATGGACAGACTTCTCCCCATCTTAGCTACTGTTGTATCAATATGTTTTGACCATGACAGTTTACAATTCAGGGTTACTCCAAGCAATTTAGTCTCCTCAAATTCAAAATCAAAAAAGTGTTAAACAAATCAAAATATATTTTATATTTGAGATTCTTCAAATAGCCACCCTTTGCCTTGATGACAGCTTTGCACACTCTTGGCATTCTCAACCAGCTTCATGAGGTAGTCACCTGGAATGCATTTCAATTAATAGGTGTGCTTTCTTAAAAGTTAATTTCCTTCTTAATGCGTTTGCGCCAATCAGTTGTGTTGTGACAAGGTAGAGGGGGTATACAGAAGATAGCCCTATTTGGTAAAAGACCAAGTCCATATTATGTCAAGAACAGCCCAAATAAGCAAAGAGAAACGACAGTCCATCATTACTTTTAAGACATGAAGGTCAGTCAATAGTTTCTCCAAGTGCAGTCGCAAAAACCATCAAGCGCTATGATGAAACTGGCTCTCATGAGGACTGCCACAGGAATGGAAGACCCAGAGTTACCTCTGCTGCAAAGGATAAGTTCATTAGAGTTACCAGCCTCAGAAATTGCAGCCCAAATAAATGCTTCACAGAGTTCAAGTCACAGACATATCTCAACATCAACTGTTCAGAGGGGACTGTGTGAATCAGGCCTTCATGGTCGAATTGGTGCAAAGAAACCTCTACTAAAGGACACCAATAAGAAGAAGAGACCTGCTTGGGCCAAGAAACACGAGCAATGGACATTAGACTGGTGGAAATCTGTCCTTTGGTCTGCAGTCCAAAATGTAGATTTTTGGTTCCAACCGCTGTCTTTGTGAGACGCGGTGTGGGGGAACGGATGATCTCCGCATGTGTAGTTTCCACCGTAAAGCATGGAGGAGGTGGTGTTATGGTGTGGCGGTGCTTTGTTGGTGACACTGTCTGTGATTTAATTAGAATTCAACCAGCATGGCTACCACAGCATTCTGCAGCGATACGCCATCCCATCTGGTTTGGGCTTAGTGGGACTATCCTTTGTTTTTCAACAGGACAATGACGGCAGAGCGAAGGAAAAGCAGCCAACAAGTGCTCAGCATATGTGGGAAAAGCATTCTAGGTGAAGCTGGTTGAGAGAATGCCATGAGTGTGCAAAGCTGTCATCAAGGCAAATTATGGCTATTTGAAGAATCTCAAATACAAAATATTTTGATTTGTTTAACACTTTTTTGGTTACTACATGATTCCATGTGTTATTTCATAGTGTTGATGTCTTCACTATTATTCTACAATGTAGAAAATAGTAAAAATTAAGAAAAACCCTGGAATGAGTAGGTGTCCAAACTTTTGACTGGTACTGCCTTCTGAAAGTATTCAGACCCCTTGACTTTTTTCCACATTTTGTTACGTTACAGCCTTATTCTATAATGGATTAAATATTTGTTTTAATCTACACACAATACCCCATAATGACAAAGTGAAAACAGGATAGATTTTTTTCCAAATGTATTAAAAAACAAAAAAACCTTACATAAGTATTCAGACCCTTTGTTATGAGACTCTAAATTGAGCTCAGGTGCATCCGGTTTCCATTGATCATCCTTGAGATGTTTTTACAACTTGATTGGAGTCCACCTGTGGTAAAATCAATTGATTGGACATGATTTGGAAAGGCACACAGCTGTCTATATAAGGTCCCTCAGTTGACAGTGCATGTGAGAGCAAAAATCAAGCCATGAGGTCGAAGGGGCGGCAGGTAGCTTAGTGGGTAAGAGCGTTGTGCCAGTAACCGAAACGTCGCTGGTTCTAATCCCCGAGCCGACTAGGTGAAAAATCTGTCGATGTGCCCTTAAGCAAGGCACTTAACCCTAATTGCTCCTGGAAGTCGCTCTGGATAAGAGCGTCTGCTAAATGACGTAAATGTAAATGTAAATGTAAATGAAGGAATTGTCCGTAGAGCTCCGAGACAGGATTGTGTCGAGGCACAGATCTGGGGAAGGGTACCAAAATATTTCTGCAGCATTGAAGGTCCCCAAGAACACAGGGGCCTCCATCATTCTTAAAATGGCCCACTTGGAGTTTGCCAAAAGGCACCTAAAGGACTCTGACCATGAGAAACAAGATTCTCTGGTCTGATGAAACCAAGATTGAACTCTTAGTCTTGAATGCCAAGCGTCACGTCTGGAGGAAACCTGGCACCATCCCTACGGTGAAGCATGGTGGTGGCAGCATCATGCTGTGGGGATATTTTTCAGCGGCAGGGACTGGGAGACTAGTCAGGATCGAGGGAAAGTTGAACGGAGCAAAGTACAGAGAGATCCTTGATGAAAACCTGCTCCAGAGCGCTCAGGACCTCAGACTGGGGCGAAGGTTCACCTTCCAACAGGACAACGACCGTAACCACACAGCCAAGACAATGCATGAGTGGCTTCGGGACAAGTCTCTGAATGTCCTTGAGTGGCCCAGCCAGATCCCGGACTTGAACCCGATCGAACATCTCTGGAGAGACCTGAAAATAGCTGTGCAGTGACGCTCCACATCCAACCTGACAGAGCTTGAGAGGATCTGCAGAGCAGAATGGGAGAAACTCCCCAAATACAGGTTTGCCAAGCTTGTAGCGTCATACCTAAGAAGACTCAAGGCTGTAATCGCTGCCAAAGGTGCTTAAACAAGTAAAGGGTCTGAATACCCTGTAAATGTGTCATTATGGGGTATTGTGTGTAGATTGATGATGGGGGAGAAACAATTTTATACATTTTAGGATAAGGCTGTAATGTAACAAAATGTGGAAAAAGTGAAGGGGTCTGAATACTTTCCGAATGCTGGGGACAATCAAAGGCCACTCTAAAAGTTGAGGGAGTGCGCAATTGGCATGCTGACTGCAGGAATATCCACCAGAGCGGTTGGCAGAGAATTTAATGTTGATTTCTCAACCATAAGCAAAACTGAACATTTTAGAGTGGCCTTTTATTGTCCCCAGCACAAGGTGCACCCGCGTAATGATCATGCTGTTTAATCAGCTTCTTGATATGCCGCACCTGGTCAGGTGGATGGATTATCTTGGCAAAGGAGAAATGCTCACTAACAGGGACGTAAACAAGTTTGTGCACAACATTTGAGAGAAATAAGCTTTTCATTCGTATGAACATTTCTGGGATCTTTATTTCAGCTCATGAAACATGCGACCAACACTTTACATGTTGCATTTATATTTTTGTTCAGTACATTCCAGACTCACTACATTTTTGGGGGGATTTGTGTGCATTCTTTTGTTGGGTATTACTACTGATGGAGCTATAGAGAAACATCAGCATTTCACTGCACCTGCGATTACATCTGCAAAATACGTGCACGCGACCCAATAACATTTTATTTGATCATATCAGAGCCGACCCAGACGCGTGACATTATTTCACATTTTGGATCCGAACCCGCTGGAGTCTCGGTGGATCCATAAAGACTTCTAGTTAGGATATGACAGACTCACCTAAATAGTCACTGTGCTGTGCTCTCATGTTATCTTCTGGCAAGGCTAACTGCAGCCGTGAGGCCAGGGACCGGGACTGATCTACAGGGAGAAACCGGTAGTCAGAGTCAGGACCTACAACGGTAATGAGACCAGTGCAGCAGGAGTCAGGACATACAACGGTAATGAGACCAGTGCAGTCAGGACATACAACGGTAATGAGACCGGTACAGTCAGGACATACAACGGTAATGAGACCAGTACAGTCAGGACATACAACGGTAATGAGACCAGCACAGTCAGGACATACAACGGTAATGAGACCAGTGCAGTCAGGACATACAACGGTAATGAGACCAGTGCAGCAGGAGTCAGGACATACAACGGTAATGAGACCAGTGCAGCAGGAGTCAGGACATACAACGGTAATGAGACCAGTGCAGCAGGAGTCAGGACATACAACGGTAATGAGACCAGTGCAGTCAGGACATACAACGGTAATGAGACCAGTGCAGTCAGGACATACAACGGTAATGAGACCAGCACAGTCAGGACATACAACGGTAATGAGACCAGTGCAGTCAGGACATACAACGGTAATGAGACCAGTACAGTCAGGACATACAACGGTAATGAGACCAGTACAGTCAGGACATACAACGGTAATGAGACCAGTGCAGTCAGGACATACAACGGTAATGAGACCAGGACATACAACGGTAATGAGACCAGTGCAGTCAGGACATACAACGGTAATGAGACCAGTGCAGTCAGGACATACAACGGTAATGAGACCAGCACAGTCAGGACATACAACGGTAATGAGACCAGTGCAGCAGGAGTCAGGACATACAACGGTAATGAGACCAGTCCAGTCAGGACATACAACGGTAATGAGACCAGTGCAGCAGGAGTCAGGACATACAACGGTAATGAGACCAGTACAGTCAGAGTCAGGACATACAACGGTAATGAGACCAGTACAGTCAGAGTCAGGACATACAACGGTAATGAGACCAGTACAGTCAGAGTCAGGACATACAACGGTAATGAGACCAGTACAGCAGGAGTCAGGACATACAACGGTAATGAGACCAGTCCAGTCAGAGTCAGGACAAACAGGACAATGCAGTAATATTGATTACTACATTGTTGGATTTGGAGCTTGCAAGAAAGGCATTTCACTGTACTAGTGCAAGAGACATTGAAACAACAACCATGCTCCTTCTGTAATGAGATGGGAAGCCATGGGCCCAATTCCAATTCGTCCCTACGCCCTAGACGGAGAGCTGAGTGGATCAACAACCATGCTCCTTCTGTAATGAGATGGGAAGCCATGGGCCCAATTCCAATTCGTCCCTACGCCCTAGACAGAGAGCTGAGTGGATCAACAACCATGCTCCTTCTGTAATGAGATGGGAAGCCATGGGCCCAATTCCAATTCGTCCCTACGCCCTAGACGGAGAGCTGAGTGGATCAACAACCATGCTCCTTCTGTAATGAGATGGGAAGCCATGGGCCCAATTCCAATTCGTCCCTACGCCCTAGACGGAGAGCTGAGTGGATCAACAACCATGCTCCTTCTGTAATGAGATGGGAAGCCATGGGCCCAACTCCAATTCGTCCCTACGCCCTAGACGGAGAGCTGAGTGGATCAACAACCATGCTCCTTCTGTAATGAGATGGGAAGCCATGGGCCCAATTCCAATTCGTCCCTACGCCCTAGACGGAGAGCTGAGTGGATCAACAACCATGCTCCTTCTGTAATGAGATGGGAAGCCATGGGCCCAATTCCAATTCGTCCCTACGCCCTAGACGGAGAGCTGAGTGGATCAACAACCATGCTCCTTCTGTAATGAGATGGGAAGCCATGGGCCCAATTCCAATTCGTCCCTACGCCCTAGACGGAGAGCTGAGTGGATCAACAACCATGCTCCTTCTGTAATGAGATGGGAAGCCATGGGCCCAATTCCAATTCGTCCCTACGCCCTAGACGGAGAGCTGAGTGGATCAACAACCATGCTCCTTCTGTAATGAGATGGGAAGCCATGGGCCCAATTCCAATTCGTCCCTACGCCCTAGACGGAGAGCTGAGTGGATCAACAACCATGCTCCTTCTGTAATGAGATGGGAAGCCATGGGCCCAACTCCAATTCGTCCCTACGCCCTAGACGGAGAGCTGAGTGGATCAACAACCATGCTCCTTCTGTAATGAGATGGGAAGCCATGGGCCCAACTCCAATTCGTCCCTACGCCCTAGACGGAGAGCTGAGTGGATCAACAACCATGCTCCTTCTGTAATGAGATGGGAAGCCATGGGCCCAATTCCAATTCGTCCCTACGCCCTAGACGGAGAGCTGAGTGGATCAACAACCATGCTCCTTCTGTAATGAGATGGGAAGCCATGGGCCCGATTCCAATTCGTCCCTACGCCCTAGACGGAGAGCTGAGTGGATCAACAACCATGCTCCTTCTGTAATGAGATGGGAAGCCATGGGCCCAATTCCAATTCGTCCCTACGCCCTAGACGGAGAGCTGAGTGGATCAACAACCATGCTCCTTCTGTAATGAGATGGGAAGCCATGGGCCCAACTCCAATTCGTCCCTACGCCCTAGACGGAGAGCTGAGTGGATCAACAACCATGCTCCTTCTGTAATGAGATGGGAAGCCATGGGCCCAATTCCAATTCGTCCCTACGCCCTAGACGGAGAGCTGAGTGGATCAACAACCATGCTCCTTCTGTAATGAGATGGGAAGCCATGGGCCCAAATCCAATTCGTCCCTACGCCCTAGACGGAGAGCTGAGTGGATCAACAACCATGCTCCTTCTGTAATGAGATGGGAAGCCATGGGCCCAATTCCAATTCGTCCCTACGCCCTAGACGGAGAGCTGAGTGGATCAACAACCATGCTCCTTCTGTAATGAGATGGGAAGCCATGGGCCCAATTCCAATTCGTCCCTACGCCCTAGACGGAGAGCTGAGTGGATCAACAACCATGCTCCTTCTGTAATGAGATGGGAAGCCATGGGCCCAATTCCAATTCGTCCCTACGCCCTAGACGGAGAGCTGAGTGGATCAACAACCATGCTCCTTCTGTAATGAGATGGGAAGCCATGGGCCCAATTCCAATTCGTCCCTACGCCCTAGACGGAGAGCTGAGTGGATCAACAACCATGCTCCTTCTGTAATGAGATGGGAAGCCATGGGCCCAACTCCAATTCGTCCCTACGCCCTAGACGGAGAGCTGAGTGGATCAACAACCATGCTCCTTCTGTAATGAGATGGGAAGCCATGGGCCCAATTCCAATTCGTCCCTACGCCCTAGACGGAGAGCTGAGTGGATCAACAACCATGCTCCTTCTGTAATGAGATGGGAAGCCATGGGCCCAATTCCAATTAGTCCCTACGCCCTAGACGGAGAGCTGAGTGGATCAACAACCATGCTCCTTCTGTAATGAGATGGGAAGCCATGGGCCCAATTCCAATTCGTCCCTACGCCCTAGACGGAGAGCTGAGTGGATCAACAACCATGCTCCTTCTGTAATGAGATGGGAAGCCATGGGCCCAATTCCAATTCGTCCCTACGCCCTAGACGGAGAGCTGAGTGGATCAACAACCATGCTCCTTCTGTAATGAGATGGGAAGCCATGGGCCCAATTCCAATTCGTCCCTACGCCCTAGACGGAGAGCTGAGTGGATCAACAACCATGCTCCTTCTGTAATGAGATGGGAAGCCATGGGCCCAATTCCAATTCGTCCCTACGCCCTAGACGGAGAGCTGAGTGGATTTGACAGGTGTAACTCAATATGCTAATAGCTCCGGAGACCTCGCCCTCTGATAGGCTAGGTGGAAGTTTCACAATATTGCTTCTACCAATCAAATCCTCTCTGATCTCCACAAGTACATAGGGATTGGTTTGGGATTGGGCCTTGGAGTGTGATGTACCTAGCTGCCTGGGACTCCTACCTAGCTGCCTGGGGCTCCTACCTAGCTGCCTGGGGCTCCTACCTAGCTGCCTGGGGCTCCTACCTAGCTGCCTGGGGCTCCTACCTAGCTGCCTGGGGATCCTACCTAGCTGCCTGGGGATCCTACCTAGCTGCCTGGGGTGCTGGGGCTCTTACCTACACTATATATACACAAAGGTTTGTGGACACCCCTGCAGTGGATTCGGCTATTTCAGAGAGATTGAGGCTCTTACCTAGTTGCCTGGAGGTGGGGGGCTCTGAGGGGGTGTAAGTCTGCCCCCTGGGGACCAGGCCGTGGAGGTGCTCCTGAACCAGCTGGATGGCTGCGTTCATCTCATCACTGGCTGAACGGGTCCTGGGTGCCACCGGAACCGTTTGTCTCTGTGGTACTGGGGGAACACAGGCAACAGGGTCGTATTCATAAGTGCAGACCGTAGCAAAAACATTTTGCAATGAAAACAGGCATTTCTTAGTGGACAAGTTCAGCTAGTCCCTTCCTCTGACAGTGTGTTTTCTTCCGTTTAGTCAATATGGGTGTCATGATAAACAGAACAACAAATTACAGGTAGTCATTTTTTAACAAATCAGATTCAGGCAGATTGACAAACAGTGGAGAGAGTGTGAAACGTACTAGGTGGGTAGGCTGCAGTCTTGTTGATGGAGATCTGGGCCTCAGACATAGCCCTCATCAGCAGGTTCTTGTTGGCCTGTTTGGCCGGGGGCAGGGTGGGTCTACAAACACACCGAGACATGGGTCAACACACAGACAACACCCTGGGGGCACCAACAGCGTGTACAATTTCTGTGAAAGAAGGGATGTTCATGACAGTTCTGCTACCGTCCTAAGGTGTTCACTGTAACTACCTGGAATTAACAGCTGATACCCAACAGAACAAGAAGCAAAACATACAGAGTAGATGAACATGTGGAAAGGAGAGCGTAACAGAGGTAAAGGGATAGTGGGGGGGGGGGGGGGGGGCACTGTGTGTGTGTGTGGGGGGGGCACGTGTGGGGTGTGTGTGTGTGTGTGTAGGGGGGGGGCACTGTGTGTGTGTGTGTGTGTAGGGGGGGGGCACTGTGTGTGTGTGTGGGGGGGGCACTGTGTGTGTGTGTGTGTGTGTGGGGGGGCACTGTGTGTGTTCGTTCCCTTACTTGCGTTCTGGTTTGGAAGGCAGGGACACTCTGCTGGACAGGTTCTTGACCCCATATCCTTCATCCTCCTCGTCATCCTCCTCCTCCTCATCACTGTCTCGACCCCCGTCTGCTGACTGGTTCAACCCGCACCACAGAGCTCACCACCGGGGCCTTGCGCTTCCTCGAAGCCTCCTCCTGATGCTAGAGACAACACGACCAGAGATGTTTTGTGACAGACACAGGAAAGCAGCACTGACTGGCTAAATTGTTTTTATCCTTTTCAAATGATTAAGAAATCCATCCTTCTTTCCATTAAGTTATCAGAGATCTCATTGGTTGGAATAGTGAAAGTAATACGGGTGGTGACTTTGCTTTCACCAATCTAAAATCACTTCTAGATATCTGATTATGTAAAGAAAATGAGGAAGGATGCATCTCTGAAATATTGGAGCAAGGCCCTTGATTTAAGGTAATACGTAAACAATCTGTACCCTGCTTCCCCCTCCATCTCTGTATGTCCTGCTGTCTCTGCTGCTCCTACTGTCCAGGTGATAGCTTCCGTGCTGCTGCCTGCTGTGAGACCCAGAGGACCCCTCTGAGGGCCTATAGGCGTCCGTCGACCTGCCTGTCCCCGAGGAGGACCTGCCCTGGGGCGGCCGGTAGATCTGAGCAGATGCCCGCCCTCCTCCGGAGGTGGATCCACGCAGGCGACCCGGGAGGACGCCCATGTCCACGGGGTCCTCGCCCATGAGGTCATCGTCTAGCTCGGGCTTGATGTCAATGACGGCCTCAGAGGAGGGAGGGTCCATCAGGGGCTTGACCATGGAGGTGAGGCGGGACGAGGAGGTCTTGTCTGAGGAGACCCTTCTGGACAGAATGACAGTGACGTTAGTGTGTGAGTCAGATCTGGGCTGTTTCACCCTATTTGGTTCTGATAAAATGCTTAAGCCTCACGTCAATTAATTGATCAACATGTAGGACTTAAGAGGTCTCGTCTGAGGAGCATCTTCCGAATAAAATCATGGGTTAGTATTAGGGGTCTTTCACATGATCCAAGCCAACCTGAACCATGATGATTTCAGTGAACGGCATTAAAAGGGTCCTCCTTCTTTCTTTTCAATACATAGCAAAATCAATGTTTCAAAATCAACACTTACCTGTGCTCATGGGCGGAGCTTGACACGCGGGCCTCTGTCCTATCAGAGCGTGAGCTGGACACTGCAAGGCCCTTTGACTCCTCCCCCTTCCATTCGCTCTTCCCTGCCGAGGTGCCAGTGTCGGAGTACAGCTGAGGCCTCAGGGACGCCGGTTCTTGATACACACAGAGAGATTGTCAATTTAGCTATACAAGGGGTAGAGATATATATAATACTGTCAAAGCTAGCTCTACAACATACTACTTTATGCTATGCTATTGTAACGTTCCTAGCCTTGATAATAAATAATAATAATAATATGCCATTTAGCAGACGCTTTTATCCAAAGCGACTTACAGTCATGCGTGCACACATTTTTGTGTATGGGTGGTCCCGGGGATCGAACCCACTACCTTGGCGTTACAAGCGCCGTGCTCTACCAGCTGAGCTACAGAGGACCACAGCCTTGATAAGGCTGTTACAATCCTCTCTTAGGGGTTGTTTGTTTTGGCATCGAACGACTCAAGGTCTTTGAATTCCCACCAGGGTGATACTAGTCACTGTTCAATACAGTATCGTTTGACTTTTTCAGCTAGGGAGCTGGTACTCCTTTGTCGTTACTGGAACTTAGCTACTGACCTCAGCTTCTCCGGGACTCCATGTAACCCGAACTTACCTACTGCCACAGACCTCAGTTTCTCCAGGACTCCATGTAACCTGAACTTACCTACTGCCACAGACCTCAGTTTTCTCCAGGACTCCATGTAACCTGAACTTACCTACTGCCACAGACCTCAGTTTCTCCAGGACTCCATGTAACCTGAACTTACCTACTGCCACAGACCTCAGTTTCTCCAGGACTCCATGTAACCTGAACTTACCTACTGCCACAGACCTCAGTTTCTCCAGGACTCCATGTAACCTGTAACAACAACACACCATACGTAGAACTGTTTAACATTTATTGAAATAGAAAATACAAAGTTACACCCAAACCATCCTCTCAAGTCAAGACACTTGCTGTAGCTTGGTCCCAGATCTGCGCAGTCTTGCCAAACAGCGAGACAATGACTTTAGAAGTTCTGGGACCAGGCCTAGTTGGTTGCATACGCACCAGACAGTAAACTTGATGGTATTGTTGCCGAGGAAGAGGGACAGGTCATCAGACATCTGCTGGGAAGTCTTCTTGTTGGCCACCATCACCATGATATAGTCTGGTAACTCTTCATCTGGGGGAGAGAGAACAGTTAGAACAATGTATTCTAGAAACCCTTGGTAGAAGGTCGACATCCATAGAAATAGAATCATTGTATTTATATATTTCTATTGTCAACAACAGTCAGATTAATTACAGCAGATCAGAAGCTGATGTCAATATTCACACTTACCGACATAGGCACCGAGTTCTTGAAGCTTTCCCTTGATAGCAGCCTGCAAGAAAATAATAATACATTGTCAATTGCTAGCCTTGGGCAAGAAAACAACCTAGCTACTAGGTACCAGTTTGCGATGGCTCTCGCCTTCACTTTTCTGGCTAGACAACTTTGTTAGCTACATCTACCGGGCAAAAGTTAAAGCAGCAATCAGCAGTAAAAACAATAACAAAGTGTATTCCCCACCCGTTTGGGTAATAAACTGAAATATTGGGCTGGAGAAATGTAACCACTCAAATTCAGACACAGCTGAACCCCTATCTGTGCGTTTGAAACCTATCTTACGGCCAGAAAGCTCCGATTCAAACTCCCATTCTCCAGACTCCCGATGTTGTGTCCCAAAGCTACAGTTCTGCAAGCGTTATTGTCCAAATTAGTTCGTTGATCACCAAATGTGGAGTTTTGCAGAGCAACTAGCTATCTTAATTTACGGCCGGTATGTAGTTAGCTATTTAAAAAAAATAAGGTCTAAATAAATAATGTACAAGCAACCGAAAAAAATGCCTCTTCGGCACCTCAGCTGTTGTAGACTTCCAACCTGTGAGTTGCAGTAATGGGTGCCTAATAGGATTTTTTTTTCGGTTACTTGTAAATTTGTACAAATTCTCTCATGGGTTAGTTAGCTAGCTAACGTTACTTGAGCTAATGGCAAGGTGGTACCGCTAACTAGCTAACGTTAGCTACCTAGCTAGATAGTTACCAAGACAAATAGCTAGCTAGCTAGCTAGCATCGAAATGACCTCACCCGTATTTTCTTGCTTATCTCTGTGCCGATCTCCATGTTTGCGTGTACTGTACCTAATAAACTACGATTCGTTATTAATTTAAAAAAAAAGTAGGTAATTCACTAAACCAACATGTCCTGCCTACAAAAACACTAGCGCCGCTGAATGTTAAACGCTAATGCTCGCAAACACATTCGCAATGCAGTATGGGATAGTGGAGTCTGGTGTTGCAAGGGGCGGGGCACGGCACGGCACGGCACGGCACAGACCCTTCATGTCCGGGAATTCATTTAGCTATTCATTGTAGTCATTGCGATCTATAAAGTTGCTATTTCTCGAGTTTTCTCGTGTCCATTAACTGGTGACATTCCTGGATTACTCATATTAATGAAGTCCGATTTAATTAACAAATATGATAGTCAGTTGAAAACAGGTTAAGGGTAGTGTACATAGCTGGCTGTGTTGGCAAAATCACTACATATCTCATCGAGCCAAGCGGGGGAGGCTGCCCGCTGTCACAGTCACAATACCAGTCAGAAACTTCCAGCTACGTCAATAGAGCTCCAGAGTGGAGGTGTCATAATACCCATAAAACCTAGCGGCCAAATGGTTCCAATCGTTTTTCTACCATTCATTTTTTTCCCTTAGGGGATTTTAGAAACACTTAAAATAAGGTCTGTGTTTCGTGTAGTCTTACCCTGGCATAACGTTTTGATAACCGTGTAAATCTCTCTCAGACAAGGTGACTTTTATCAATATATTCGGCTCTATTTACTCTCATATTCAAGAATGCTAATTAGCGTCAAAGTAGACATCAAGCAAGACTACAAATTCCTGCACATCATCTCTAGCTGACACATTACATTACATACATTTACATTTACGTCATTTAGCAGACGCTCTTATCCAGAGCGACTTACAAATAGGTGCATTCACCCTATAGCCAGTGGGATCACCACTTTACAATGTTTTTTTTTTTTTTTTTTTGGGTTGGGGTTTGGGTTGGGGTAAGGGGGGGGGATAGAAGGATTACTTTATACTATCCCAGGTATTCCTTAAAGACGTGGGGTTTCAAATGTCTCCGGAAGGTGGTCAGTGACTCCGCTGTCCTGGCGTCGTGAGGGAGCTTGTTCCACCATTGGGGTGCCAGAGCAGCGAACAGTTTTGACTGGGCTGAGCGGGAACTATGCTTTCCTAACAGGCATTGTGTCAATTTAAATCTTGCACAACACCGTTCACAGAATTGTCAATTTAAAGACCTACAGTATAGCCAATTTATTAATGACTACATTTAGCTAACATTAGATAGTTAATCCAGAGATATTCTTACCTTTGCCTCGATTTGGCAGTCTCGTCCAGATCATCATGGCATTTGTAGTTCTTTATAATGGCCACATTAGCAGCTAATTAGCATTTCATTTTTGAGTGATAAATAGAGCCGAATATATTGAGAAAAGTCACCTTGTCATGCCAGGGTATTTTTTTGTTTATTACTTTTATTATTATTTGTATTTTGCCCCCTTTTTCGATCTTGTCTCATCCCTGCAACTCCCCAACAGGCTCGGGAGAGTCATGCGATGCGTCTTCCGAAACATGACCCGCCAAACCGCGCTTCTTAACACCCGCCCGCTTAACCCGGAAGCCAGCCGCACCAATGTGTCAGAGGAAACACCGTTCAACTGACGACCGAAGTCAGCCTGCAGGCGCCCGGCCCGCCACAAGGAGCGCGATGAGCCAAGTAAAGACCCCCCGGTTAAACCCTCCCCTAACCCGGACGACGCTGGGCCAATTGTGCGCCGCCCTATGGGACTCCCGGTCACGGCCGGTTGTGAGACAGCCTGGGATCGAACCCGGGTCTGTAGTGCCTTAGACCGCTGCGCCACTCGGAAGGACCCTGTAAGTTAGTGCACATAAAAATATCTCATCACGCACAGCCTTTTATCCGCAAAAAGTCAGTTTGATGGAAACATCTCTGGTGGGAAAATATGCATAATGTTTTATGCAGATTTTAGAATATTAGCATGAAAATCTATCACAAATTGGATGGAAACCTAGCGATATCCTTCGCCACCATCATCTTATGAACGATATTTACATTTTTAGTCATTTAACAGACGCTCTTATCCAGAGCAATTAGGGTTAAGTGCCTTGCTCAAGGGCACATTGACAGATTTTTCACCTAGTTGGCTCTGGGATTAGAACCAGCGACCTTTCGGTTACTGGCACAACGCTCTTACCCACTAAGCTACCTGCCGCCCTATCTTGAACCAGTCATGACTATTCAACAAAACAATAAAACAATACATAATTAGTTACATGATTGTATAACTAGCAGAGGAGTTTTGAAGTTGAGGGAGCAGTATTTATTCAGTTTGGCAATGAGAACGAAAACTAGCATAGTTCAGCTAGCCAGCTAGTTTAGGTTTGTGACTAGTTACCACAGTCACAAAGTCAACATTAACTATATTGTAGAAATCCATGAAAACAAAAAGTTAGCTTTTTGGTCTTAATTTAAGGTTGGGCATAAGCTTAGCAGTGTGTTTAGGGTTTAACATCAGATGTTAAGAAGATACATTGTAGAGATAAATAGGTGGAGTAGCGATAATTATGACTTTGTGGCTGTGGTAACTAGTGACGAACCTAGTTTAGCCAGGGAAAAGCAGGGGAAATGAGCTCGGGCCTAGTGTGCATGTACGGCAGCTAGGCTAATTCAGGAGAGGATTGTAGTTTTTAGGCCCTGATATCAGGGGTTTGCGGCGAAAAGATTGATTCAACAATTTAGAGACGAACCAGGTTTCCATCCAAACTTTTTATGCGAGTAAAGTATGGTAGAAAATGTAATGAAAGGCTTGATGGAAACAGAACATTTCCCGGTAAACTTTCCAAATGTCCACAAAACAAAATAAGTTAGAAGACGTGGGATCTTTTAGTGTCGGTAAAATGAATTATGACAGAAATGACGGTGGAAACGCTTTTATGCGCAAATATTGATATAATAACCATCATATCGAAGTGAACCTGGAGTCACGCGATGATATGTTGTGTGGTCCTCCCACTACGACTCGGGAAACCTTGCAGTTTATTAGACTACAGATTAAATACATTATGAACTTCACAGGGTGGTGAAAGGGCAAGGTGATGAGCTTGATGCTCCTTTCCAATAAATATCGAGGGTCTTATCCTGGTGACATGATAATCGATGCTTGGCTGCCGTTTCACAATAATAATTGTCCATAATAGTAACGTCATCATATAGGCTATCCGTGTGCTTTAGCTGATAGCGCTGTTGGCTAGAGCGCACGTGTCAATACCAGCGTGGACACACTCGCTATATAACGCAACATCTTTTGTGAGAAAACCATCAGTAGAGTTGAAAATGCAATGGAAACCCATTTTACTTGTGTTTTTTTATCCGGTACATGGCAATTTAACCGCAAAACCTTGAATACAGGAAATGAATGGAGAAGTCGCTTCTGGACATGGTAGACTCCTTCTTCTTCTTCTTCTTCTGTGGGTTTTATGGCGGACTACATCCAAAAGTTGTATTGCCGCCACCAACTGGACGGTTTGAAACCAAAACTAAACTAAATAAATCCATACTTAATAGTGATTCTAACAATCCACCCTAATAAAAATAGTACATTGCCAAAACAAACAAAACTCCCACTTCTTCCTTATTTTAGTTCTCCATATCTCCCTTCTCAGGCTCGAGGCTTTTGCTAATATAATAATATAATAATAATATGCCATTTAGCAGACGCTTTTATCCAAAGCGACTTACAGTCATGCGTGCATACATTTTTTTTTGTGTATGGGTGGTCCCGGGGATCGAACCCACTACCTTGGCGTTACAAGCGCCGTGCTCTACCAGCTGAGCTACAGAGGACCACAAATATTCCATGTAACTCTTTTGCTGTGAAATCTTTCAGCCCCAGGAACCGCTCCGCCGCAATCACAATGATTTCAATCTTCCTAGATCTTTTCTCCACCTTGGCAGTGGCATTTATCACCATTGCGATATAGCTCACAAAGTCCACCTTTTTAACCTTTAAAATGTCAGGATCCTCTTGGTGTAAGACAACCCCTGCTACCTTTCAGTGAAGGCCTACACACACCACCATGGACTCTTCTGGTGCAACATTCAAACCCTCAACCCTTTTCACAGCATGAAATGTTCTGAAGAAACCCTGACTTTGGCCACATCATTCTCTTTAACCCTCATGGGGCATTCAGAAGACGTGGCTTCATGATTCCCACTGCATTTACAACAAGTCACATTTTTTTTCTTCACTTTTATAAAACATAATATTATATTTTTTCTACATATTGTACATCTCGGCTTCTCCCTTCTGCAAACACTTTCTACACGACCAAAAGCTGTACGAAGTTCACGCTGCGTTGTTCTTTGGATAAATGCTCCAACTCTGTACATTTACATTTTAGTCATTTAGCAGACGCTCTTATCCAGAGCGACTTACAGTTAGTGAATGCATACATGCTTTTTTTTCATACTGGCCCCCCGTGGGAAACGAACCCACATCCCTGCAGGTCAAACCCTCCCCTACCTTGGACGATGCTGGACCAATTGTGCGCCGCCCATGGGTTTCCCGGTCGCGGCCAGCTGCGACAGAGCCTGGACTCGAACCAGGATCTCTAGTGGCACAGCTAGCACTGTGATGCAGAGCCTTAGGGCACTGTGCCACTCGGGAGACGTAGTTATTATACCCTAACCACACTTCATTAGGGAAGACTCCATTTCAAAAAACAAAAGAACAGATAAACTTTTCACTTTTTCCCCATTCACCACTAGATTCATCCGCCGTGCTTCAATCACTCCAGGAATATTTTGTTATCTCTTCCAAATCAACTTCCCACAAAACGCCAGATATAACCCCCTTAAGGGGTGCCCTGTTCCGAAGCGACACACACACACACAACACTTCTAATTTATCAAATCGATTAAGACACAACACACGTTCCTTCTGATCCGCAGAATCACAAAAAATCAAAACAAACCCGCCTCTCATGATCCTCACAGCCTTCACTTTACCCAGCACTCTCTCCACCAGTTTGGATAACTCAAATGGTTTCTTCCAGATTGGTACTCTGCTCAGCTGCTCCTTATTAGCAAACCGTACTCCTACTAGATACGAAGGGACATTCTCATCACTGTACCCTACTGTGCTCAGTTTT